GGGTTATGCTATTTTTCAAGATCTAAAATGAGTAACCTTGGGCAACATGAACTTGTGCTTACTCACCTGGCTTCCATGTTCCCAACCACACGCAAATAGTTCTTGTGCCGGTGGACTCGCCGCTGGACTTCATGGAATAGGTAACGCAACTGCATAAAGATGACCAAGCTGGCCATGGATAACCAGATGTTGCCAAATAACTTAACAAGAGAGAAAAAAATACACAATAAAAGTGAATGTTAGTGATGAAGGTGAGGTGTGCAACGACTCTTAATTATTAGTGAAGGTGAACTGGAACAATCTTCCAGGAAAGAAATGCATATATTTATCTCATGACTCTAATAATATAATGCTTTTTGACCTATTATTTCATCACCAGCAAACTCTCCTGAGGAACTAATCAGAAACTGAAAAGCTTCATGCAAAAAGATGTCCATCTTCAAGATTATTCCAAAAAAAATCGGGAAATCAACAGTAGGGGAATAGTTAGGTTGTGAATCATATAATGTAATATTATAGTCATTAATTGTATTTGTTATAAAATACAATTACATATTAATGTATTATACATTATTTACAGCTGACCCTTGAATAACACAGGTGTTAGGGACACTGACCAACCCTGACCAAGCAGTCAAAAATCCATGAATACAGAGAAGGCACATAGTGGATCTGTGGCATCTTACTACACTGATGGACAGTGACTACATTGAGGTATGGGTGGGGACTTGATAATATGGGTAAATGTAGTAACCACATTGTTTTTCATGTGAAACCTTCGTAAGAGTGTATGTCAATTACACCTTAATAAAAATAATTAAAACAAAAACAAAAAAAAATCCGTGAATAACTTTAGACCCACCTCCCCACCCCCCACCCCACATAAAACTTAACTACCAATAAAGCTTGTTGACAAGAAGCTTTACTGATGATAAAAACAGTGAATTACCACATATTTTGTGTGGTATTACATGCTATATCCTTACGATAAAGTAAGCTAGAGAAAAGAAAATGTTTTTTAAAATGTTGCATATCTCCAAAAAACCTCCAATACATTTACTGAAAAAAATCTACATATAAGTGGACCTGTGCAGTTCAAACCCATGTTCTTCAAGGGTCAACTATGTAACATTTTTGAAGCTAAATTACAATGGAAAACAATACTTGTTAAGTGAAAAAAGCAGGATAAAACAACCTTAAAAGAAAACTAATACGTGATTTTTAAAAATTGTGTAAAGATGTGAAACAGAAACACCTGAATATATTCTAAAATAACCCATTATGGGGGTTGGTTAAATAGATCACTGTACATTTATATGATGGAACTATTTTGAAGGTATTAAAATGGTTTAGAAGAATTGTTGGGCCAGGATTTGAACCCAGGCTGCCTGGGATCCCCTCATCCTTGCTGCCTCCCTCCCTGGCACACTCTGCTGGGACCGTAATTGTGCTTGACTTTCAGAGCATTCAGAGTGGACCCCAGCTGAACACACATATATGGCCACTGCCACTCCAGAACTCACTGTTCTGATAGGGAAACAGGGGCTGGTTTGAACCTCAGCTCCAGCACTGAGTGGCTGTGTGACCTTGGACAAGTTACTTAACCTTTCTGGCTTCAGTTTCCTCATGGGTGTAATGAGTATGATAATAATCCAACTTACCTCACAGGGTGAATATTAAATGAGCTAATACATGTGGAGATCATCCAGTACATAGTAAGGATTTCTTCCCACCTTTGTAAGAGAAAAAACAGAAAGGAGCAGTTCCCTGCCTCCACACCTACTTCATCATTTTTTAAAACACAATGGAATCACATCACTCTTCTTAGAAACAATCCCTCCTATGGCTTCCAATCCCAGAGCCGCCCTCCCTTTTCTCCTCCCAGGACCACCTCAGCCCCCTAAGAGCCCTTTCTCAGAGCAGTTACAACTTCTCATCTTCCCCACCCCATCCCAAAGGCCACTGTCACTGCAAAAATCTCTGTAGCCCTCTGGCCTTGGAACAGCCCTCCCTCCGGCTCACAGTGGTTCAGGCTCCATTTCTGACACACTCCTGCTCCCCTGCTGACACCCGAGCTCCTGGCCACTTTGTCCCCTCTCCATCCTTAGTTTTTCTTCATAGCACATGTCATCACCCATGATATCATATTTATTTGTTCAATCGCCTATCCTATGAAACACCCCCAACCTCAAAATGTGATGACTGTTCATTTACAAATCCTCAGATACTAGAGCAATATCTGGGATATGGTAAGTGCTGAATAATTATGTGATGGATAAATGAATGAATGAGCAAATGAGGCACAGTACTGTCCCCAAAATGCTCTCCATTTGGCAACTGAGACAGACAGGATACAGGTGATCATAATACAGAGGAATGACCTCTGTCTTAGGGGAAGGGCAGGGTTGTGGAGCTCAGCAAGGGCCCCATCCCAGAGTTTGGAAGGCAGGGCAGCACCCTAGGCCAGGACAAGGTAGGTCGGGGAGGGTCTGAAGCAGAGATCTGAAGATGTGTCATCATCAGTCCACAGATCAAAGGCCTGAGGGACAGTGTGCCAGGCAAAGAGAGTCGCTTGTGCCAAGGCCTGGAGGGGAGAAAGAACGCCCTCAGGGAACAGAAGGCTGTTCTGTGTGGGGGATTAAGGAGGTTGGGGAAGGAGTGCTGGCTGAGGGGCTGGAGAAGGGAACACAGGCCAGACCCCAGGGACTTTGGAACTCTGTGGGGAGTTGGGCAATGAGGAGGGAGAGAGTGGGGAAGGGCAGGTTTCAGCAGGGAAGGACATGGTCAGGCTGCAGGGTGGAAAATTCCCTCTGGCTTCTGAGTGAAGTTAGGACTGGGAGTAGGGAGGAAGGGAGGCCTGTGGAGGCTCCACACAGGAGGGAGGCTGGGTCTGAGCCAAGGTTGATGGTTGGGAGGGTGGGGGACTCTGCTGGCAAGAGGATCACTAGGAGGAGCCCTGAGTTGAGTCAGTCTGAGGGTGCAGGGCTCATTCTGTGGGCAGAGGGGCTCCCCAGTCAGCACACATTGGGTTGGTTTGAAAGGTAAAGAATGCACACTCCAGACTCCCAAGCCATTGCTCCTTTCTAACAGGGTTGCCAGACTTAGCAAAAGAAAGAAAAAGATAACGATCTATAGAATGCCCAGATGCATTTGAATTTCAGATAAACAATGAATAATTTTTTAATCTATATTCAACAAACTGGACATTCTGTCTTTTATCTGGCAACCCTGCTTTCAAAAACCTCCCCTATACACATAGTCTGCCTTTCTGAAATACTAGCAACAAATCACATGGAAACTTCTGGTCTGCGGGCCCTGTGACATCTACTTGTCATCTGTCATGTGCCTCCTTGGAGTCCCTGGCACTGAGCACTGGTCCCCAGACCCTACCTGCTAATGTGGAAGGCCCCGAGAACTGGGCCCAGTGCTCAGACTGGGCTAGGCCAGGACCCTGCTGGGAGGGAGAGGAGGGCAGGAAGGCCCAGCACACTTCCCTCATCCATGGCCCCACACCCATGTAGGGCTTTTCCAGGAAGTGGTTCCTGCCCAGGGTCTGGACTCCAACTGGGCTTAGGGTTACAAGCCTGGGGCCATTTCGTGGAACTGCCAGAACCATCGCTGGTCACTGTGGCCACATCCTCCCTCATGCAGCCCTGGGCTAAGTAGGTCTGGGAGTCCAGGCCTAGGCTTGGGGCTCAGCAGAGTCACAGGCAAGACCCTGCTTCACTGGGCTACAGACCAGCCTGGGTCACCACTTCCTGGAGCTGCCCAACAGAGGGGCCAGAGCTTCCCATCAGCACAAGGGAGCCTCGTGCAACTCTGGGCTGGGCTAAACCAGGGAGAGCTCAGATGGGGGCTCACGGCACCCTGACAGAGACAAGGAGACTCTCTGGAGTCAGACACAGAAAGAGACCTTCGCTGTGGGGCAACTGGAGAGATTTCATACAAGATGTGACAAATGAGCCACCAGGAATTTAAATAGATGAGGGCTGAGGAGTTGTGGGTTGGCAAGATGTGTGACAGAAATAGGGAAACTGCACTAAGTGGGGAATATTCCTAAAATGGCAAAAGGCCAACAAGGCCAGAGCGCAGACCACCCGTCTGGGGAAGGGGGGGAGGAGGTGACACAGTTGAGGATCATGTGCCCAGCAAAGAGCTAGGCCTGGGGCTTAGACCAGTTGGCCTCTGAGACTCAGTTCACACTGCTAATAATAATAGCCAAAAAAATGATAACAATAATAACCATTTATTGAGCACTTACTCTGTGCTAAGCCCCTTTATATGGATTATTTTATTACATCTTCAAAATAAGTATTGCTATTACCCCTATTACACAGATGGGAAAACTAAGGCACACAGAGGTTGAATGGCTTTATCCTCCCTCATGCAGCCCTAGGCTAGGTGGGTCTGGGAGTCCAGGCCTAGGCTTGGGGCTCAGCGGAGTCATAGGCAAGACCCTGCTTCACTGGGCTACAGACCAGCCTGGGTCACCACTTCCTGGAGCTGCCCAACAGAGGGGCCAGAGTTTCCCATGAGCACCAGGGGAGCCTCGTGCAACTCTGGGCTGGGCTAAACCAGGGAGAGCTCAGATGGGGGCTCACGGCACCCTGACAGAGACAAGGAGACTCTCTGGAGTCAGACACAGAAAGACACCTTCGCTGTGGGGCAACTGGAGAGATTTCATACAAGATGTGACAAATGAGCCACCAGGAATTTAAATAGATAAGAGGACTGAGGAATTGTGGGGTGGCAAGATGTGCGACAGCAATATGGAAGCTGCACTAAGTGGGGAATATTTCTAAAATGGCAAAAGGCCAACAAGGCCAGAGCGCAGACCACCCGTCTGGGGAAGGGGGGGAGGAGGTGACACAGTTGAGGATCATGTGCCCAGCAAAGAGCTAGGCCTGGAGCTTAGACCAGTTGGCCTCTGAAACTCAGTTCACACTGCTAATAATAATAGCCAAAAAATGATAACAATAATAACCATTTATTGAGCACTTACTCTGTGCTAAGCCCCTTTATATGGATTATTTTATTACATCTTCAAAATAAGTATTGCTATTACCCCTATTACACAGATGGGAAAACTAAGGCACACAGAGGTTGAATGGCTTGTCCACATCCACACAACTAGCAAGTGGCTGAGCTGGCATTTGAGCGCAGGCAGTCTGGCTCCAGCGCCTGCCCCACTCACCACCTAGTGAAGGGCTATTTGCGTCAAGAAATAAACAGAGGGCAGAGGATTCCCCTGGGAGAAAAGGGACCAGGCTTCAATTGCCTCCCTGTGCCCATCAAAGTCATTAAATCTGCCTGATGGCTCTGAACAGGGCTCTGAGAGCCTCTCTCAGCCCCCCACTCTGGTGCCAGATATGCACAGAGCATAAGACCCCAAGAGCCAGAGTGGGCAGCTGCTCTGGGAAAGAGAGAAATGGTCCTAGAATTCCTCCTGGCCACTCAGCAGGCACAGTCCTGGAGGCAGGGCCTCTCCACCTGGTGTGTCATGTCCGCAGACAGGTGACCACAGCATTTCCAGGCGCGGTTTTGTAACCAGTGGTTTCCCAGCATAGGCCAACAGCGCTCCCTGCTGTGCAGCCTGGGAAGGGCTCTGGCTTCATGAGTCATCTCCCACTTGGTCTGACCCACACGTCAACGACAATGGTGATTCTCTCCAACAGTGGCCCCAGCCTGGATTTAGAACCCACACCCTCACTGCTATCAGGGGAACTGCAATCCTACGCAATCGTCAAATAACCAGGCCTGGGACGCAGCTGGCTCAGGTGGAGGGGAAAGAGGCACTCCCCTTCTACCGCCAGGAAGCCCTATGGCCCCAGCCACGGTCTAAATGGCCTGTGGGGGTCATCTTGGGAGCACGAGAGGAGGAGCATCCAGGAAGGGCTGAACTTTCTGGTCTTTGCTAAGGGTGGATTTGGAGTTAGGGTCATATCGTAATTTGGCCAGGGGTGGGGGTGGTGTTAAAGAAAAAATGCCCTCAGGAATGGGCTGGTGAGGCTCAGACACTGAGTGGGTCTCTAAGCACTGGACTGGTACCCCATGCAGGAAGTGGTCTGACCTTCCCCAGGAGGAAGGTGGCAGGGCCCAGCAGGAGCTTCTACGGCAGGCTAGCCAGTACCCCACTTACAGCAGGAAAGTTGAGCTAAAGGGCCCCCTATGACTGTTTCTCCACTGTGTTACTCAGTTTCACAAAACTCTTGGGCTAGACTGGCCTGGAGCCATCTGCCCTGAGTCACAGATGTGGAAACCGAGGGTCAGGGAGCAATGACAGGCCCAAGGTCATAAAGTAAAACAGCCTGGCTTAAAATGTGCCCTCCTGACTCCCAGACTAGTGCACTGCCCACAGGCCTGGCCAGACAGGTCCAGGCACCAGGGAAAAGTTGCTGCCCCGCAGTGGGGCTGGAACTACTCTGGAACAGAAAGCCAGGGGAGACGGAGCAGCACCTGCCCTCTGGGCCTGGCAAAGCCATGGAGGGGTAAAAGCCTCCCTGGAGGGGGCAGTGGCCTCTGGTGGTCAGCACCTGGCCTGTCACCTTCTCTGGGAGAAGCTGGGGCCACGGGCTGCAGGCAGACAGAAAGGCTGGAGGCTCTGGGCCAGGAGGTCCAGGCTACAGCATGGTCTGGGAGGTGCTGAACGCCTCCACCTCCGCCTCCACCTCCGCCTCCGAGCGGCACCTCTGGGAGCAGAACCATAGGAAGAGGAAGAAACCTGCAGGAGGAAGTCTGGTCAGTGGGTGCACGGCAGGAGCAGCGGGGCCCACCCAGGACCTAGGGACCTCCTTGGCTCAGGTGACCTGGGCCTCCCAGAGGCACACAATTCTCAGACTCCCCTACTGTTGGTGGCCAGAAGGGACAGAGCATGGGAGCTGGAGGACCCAGTCACCTCGAGCAAATTGGAAGGTGACATGCTACCTGTGGGCAGTGTAGTCCCAAACCAGCCTGGACGGGGCCCTGCGTCACCCCACTGACCGGAGGCCCTTAGCAGTAAACAACTACCAACGGCACACCACCAACCCCCACCCCGAGGTGCCTCCACGCCGCCCACAGGTCCTACCGTAGAATGAGTTGAAGATGGTGAAGAGGAAGAGCTGGGGCAGCAGGAAGACACCAAAGGAGAAGAAGGCCAAGGCCCAGGTGGTGCCAAGCAGCACGGTGAGGCCCAGCACGGTGACGGCATCCCGGCAGGCCCGGGCACGCAGTGCCCTCTCCTGCGCCCGAAGTCGGCTCAGGGTCCGCAGCGCCCAGGCCAGCACCACCAAGTTGAAGAGGGACATGAGGCCACCATAGCCCATGACCAAGACAGTGTGCACCCAGCGACTCCGCACCCAGCACCTGCAGGGGTGGGGAGTGCCCAGCTTGGTGTGGCTTCCGAGGCTGGGGAGACACCATGGTCTCGGGCTCAGACCCACTGCAGTGAAGTCCTGGGTCTGGCTTTCCAGCTAAGCCCCCACGATAGAACCCACCTGCCAACTTGCCCCACTCTCTGAAGCCCCCCAGGCCCTCCTGTCCAGCCACGCCGGTCTCTCTCGTGCCTTCATGACCTTACCCAACTGAAAACTCTCCCCTGCCTCCTTGCTATGGCCAACCTCTCCCCTTCCACTGCCAGGCCAGCTATCAACTTGTCCGATAATCCACTGGATCATTGGCCAGCCCCCTTCCCTGGAAACTTCTTCCACCATCTCATCACCACCTCTGTGCAATGGGATGCCCTGCCGGGACCTGGCCCCACCTAGATGGGGCCAGCAGGCCAGCTCTGAGCCCTGAGTGAGCTGCTGCTGCTCACAGCTCGCAGCCTGGTGGGGGGCACTCTCCACGTGCGCACCGAGGGGCAGAGTGAGCAGCAGGAAAACACCGAGAGCCAAGGAAAGAGTCAGAAAGAGGCCTGACAGTGGCCCCAGCCCTGCTCCTAGACTCTCGCTGAGGCCTTCAAGCCTCTGTCTCCCAAGATTCCTTCAAAACAGGTGTGCCTTTTACCCAGACACCATGTCACATGCTTTCCACTGGTTAGGCATTCCACCCTCAGGATGACCCTAGGAAGCAGGCGCATAATCATCCCCACCCTACAGATGAGGAAACTGAGGCTCTGGCTTAGGAACACACACTAGTAAGAGCACGGGAGGCACTTGAAGCCCCGTGGTCTGAGCCCAGAGCCACTGCCCCTAACTGTCAGGGTCGCCTGCTTGGGCTCCCGTCACGGGCTTCTGCCACTGCAGTCACAAGCGTCCTTGAATATTACTTTGGGGATTCATGCAAGTGGCTGCATGTGGCCATGGGTCACACCTTGTCACTGTTACATGACGGTCCAGCGGGGGCAGCTCTGACACAGCCTGTTAACCCAGTGTCCTGTCGTTTTTTTATTGCTGCTCGTGTTCAGGGTTTTGTAAATGTATGAGACAAAAGTCACAAACACAGGGTGAGAGCAGGAGGGAGAGGTCAGGAAGGTCAGGGGCAGCTGGGGGGGGCTCTCCGGCGGCCCTGTGCTAGCGTGCTCCCATCCTGTGGGCGTGCCACTGCCGAGTCAGGCCTGCATCTCATATTGTATAATAGAATACTTCATCGCACTCCTCTGAGAAACCAACCTGACCGCACAGCGAGAGGAATCAACCCCACCTGCCCTCCAGTCTGCGCCCAGAGCCCTCACCTCCCGGAGCCGGGAGGGGCAGTGGTGGGCGCCAGGCTCTGCTGGCTCCTGTTGGGCAGAGTTCTTTAGTTGCCTGTGCCTCAGCTTCCCCAGTGCAAGGGCTGATGACAGAAGGACCTACCCCTTGGTGTGAGGATGAAACAGCCCTCAGTGGTCCTGAGCTTGCATCAGCCAGGAAACGTAAAAAGGCTAAATGGCCAGCTGCTGGTCATGGGGCTACAGGGCTTTATTAAGCTATCCTCTCTACGTTAGCTGATGGAAACTTTTCTTAACAAGGTAAAGGTTAATGTCCTGAGCACAAGAAGCAGCAGCAGAGTCTGTCCCCCAGGCCCCCAGACCCTTAAAAAGGCTAAATGGCCAGCTGCTGGTCATGGGGCTACAGGGCTTTATTAAGCTATCCTCTCTACGTTAGCTGATGGAAACTTTTCTTAACAAGGTAAAGGTTAATGTCCTGAGCACAAGAAGCAGCAGCAGAGTCTGTCCCCCAGGCCCCCAGACCCTTGCCCCCCCAATACCCACTGAGTCTGGTCCCTGGCTGGGGTGTCCCAATCCCCACAGAGCTCCCTCCTCTGACTCCGGGGACTTGAGGGCTGGCAGTGCCATGCCAGGCACAGGTCGGAAGGAGCGGGAACCTGAGCAGTGGAGCATGGGGTGGGAGGGAGCGCAGTCAGGCACAGGCTGAGCTCCAGCCTGGGAGCTGGAGGGGGCCTGGGCTGACAGCTGTGTATTGCCAGGAGGTGGAGGCCCTGCTGCCTTGGCCCTGAAGGCCCAAGAGAGGGCATCAGAGTCTGTCCCAGGGCTTCCTATTAGCTGGCCTAGAACATGGGCCTGCCCCTGGAGGGGACTCAGGGATCCCGCAGAGGGGGTGTGGCAAGCCCCCTGGAACGCACCTCCTGTTTAAGCACCAGCCCCCTCCTTGTCCCACAGCCAGTGCCCTGACGACAGCACATCCTGTCAGAGCCTCAGGCCACATGGCCCTTCTGCCAAAGACAGCCTGCCACAGCCCTGAGGACACTCACATGGACATGTTCTGGAAGCCCGCGCCATCTTCCTGGCTGTCAGAGTCTGGGATCATGTAGGGTCCATACACTGAGCTCTTGACAGCAAGGAGGAACAGAACCAGGAGGGCTGGAAGCCCTGAGGGGTGACACAGAGGCCCAGCATCTGTCAGGTGCCCCCAAAAGGGGTTGGTCACGGGCCCCCGGGGCTGCTAAAACAGAATTCCACTGGGCAGGTGGCAGGGAAAGAGACTGCTCTGAGCCTCCAGCTCCTGCCACATGGCCCAGCTCCAGAGCAATTAGTGTGACAGCCTTAGAGGAGGTTGTTTTCCAAGATGATATTAGAGAGGGCACTAGGGTGGGGTGATATGGCAGTAGTGGTCGCACTGGGAGGTGGTGGCTGAGAGTTAATGAGAGAGGGGGTTTGGGAACTGGTGAGGAGGCAGGGATAATAAAGAGAGGGACTAAGATGGTGATAGACATGCCCATGGTGGTGGCACCAGAGACAGTGATAAAGATGAGAATGTGATGGTGGTGACCATCGAGGTGGTAGTGGAGGTGATGGAGGTATTGGAGGTGGAGGTGATAGAAATGATATGGTGGTGTTGATGGTGCTGGTGTTGGAGGTAAAGGTGGTACTGGAGGTGATGGTGGTGGTGATGCTATTGGAGGTGCTGGTGATGGAGGTGGAGATGGTGGAGGTAATGGAGGTGATGGATGTCGAGGTGATGGATGTCAAGGCAGTATTGGAGGTAGAGGTGATGGAGGTGATGGTGGTAGTGATGGATGTGGAGGTGGCAATGAAGGTAGAAATGGTGATAAGAATAGTAATGTAAAGAGTAGTGGTGGCGTTGATAGGGATGATGGCCACTGGTGAGGAAGAGGAGAACGGGGAGGACAGGAGGGGCTAGATGTCCTCTCTGGGGTCTGAGGAAACAAGAGGGTGGGGGGCTCTGCTTACCCCAGCCCGCTGCACAGAGCTTGAGCAGGTATTGGTGGATGTGGATGTTGTAGACACGCCCAAGGAGCAGGTAGAGGTTGAAGCCTTCAATGGCCATCCAGGTGAGGCAGCTGAGCCGCGCGAAGAGCAGGACGGCAGCCAGCACTGTGCACGCTGACCCAGGCATGGAGGCCGCGGCCAGCCTCGGGCTCAGCAGGAAGGTGGCATTCAGCAGCAGCACAGAGGCATGCTGGTTCGTGTGGATTTTTGTCAACGAGTCACTCTGCTTCCTGCAGGTAGAAGCACGGCCCTCTGTGGCCTGGGGACATCACCTAAGCAGTGCCACCCCCGGGCTCATAGATAGACAATGATGGGGACACTGAGGTCAAGAGAGAGTACGGATCCAACAGCTGCCACACTGAGGGGCTGGTATCCTGCCTCCCAGCCTCTGCCCCAAGGAGAAGCCCACCCTACTCTGGAAGAGCAAGTGGGAAAGGAGGGGGAATCTGAGACGCGCTGATAGGCAGACCCAGCACTGAGGCAGGGGATTACCTCACTTGGAAGTGCTGCAGGATAGTGAGCAGTGAGGCCACGATAGAGATGCTGCAGCCCACCAGGGAGATGTACGTAAGAGGCACCAGCCACTCTGCGGGGACTGGGGCTGGGGACAGTTGCTGTGGGAGGGAAGAAGGACTACAGGCCAGAAGCATGGCAATGCCCTCCCCATGCTGAGAGGGACCTAAGAAGGACCTCAGCTCCAAGCTTTCCTGCCCCACAAACCCTCCGTGGTCCTGGTTTGCAGCGCTGGCAGTCATAGTGGCTTCTGCCTGCTCCCCCTTCCTCCCAAGTCAACTCCTATCTCCCCTTTCTCTATAATATCTATGAGATCTCTCCTCCTCTATGAGAACTTCTCCTCCCTCCTTATCTATGCACATGGGTGGACCCACTGTTTCTCCCCCTATTTGTGGACAGGTGCACGAGGCCCAGCCTCTTAAGAGCCTTCCCTCCCTCTGCCCACAGAGATTGGTTAAGGGATGGGCATGTGACACACTGTAGGCTAGTGGGACTCAGTCCCAAGACTTTGGCTGGCAGAATTGAATGAGAGAAGCTCTTACTCCACTGGTCTGCAAACTGGTAGGACATGAGCCTGGAGCTGCTGGCACCCATATTATTAGCCCATGGAGAGATCTGTCGGAAGGCTAGGCCCGCACAAAGCAAGCACAGTTGAAAGACAGAGGTAAAGTCCTGTCTTGATGTTACTGAGTGCCTGGATCAAACCATGCCTGAAGGCTAACCCAGCCTTTTCAGGAACATGAGCCCACAGTTTTTTTATTTCTTCTTTAAGCCCATTTAAGTTGGATTTGTTGTCCCTTGCAACCTCCTTCAACTTGCTCCTCTGTCCTAGACACAGGGCCCTCATTCAGGCTGGATGCACACATACCATGAGAACAGCAAAGTAACTGAGGTGGTGGCAGCGGCAGAGCACCTGGAAAGGTGAGGGCTGCTCTGTGCGACAGCCCTCAGGGCTCCAGACCCCCCAGTGGTGCTGGCTGGCTCCCTCCTTCCAGAAGACACAGGTTGCCGTGTAGCCTTCCTAAGGGGAGATGCGGGAGTTGGGTGTGTCCCAGGGCTCCAGGGGAGGGCTGTGGGTCAGGGTCTGGAAATTCTGAGGGTCAAAGGTGATTCAACTGCACTCTTGTCAAGATTGTGCAGATAGTGGATGGACTTTGGCATCAGACAGGCCCAGATCACAGCACTACCTCCACTATGGACTCTCAGAGTGACCTGGGCAAGCTGATGAGCTTCTCTGAGCTTTAGTTTATTCATTTGCAAAATGCAATCATTTATACCCAAGTCTCAAGAAGGGTCGAAAAAAGTAAAGGCAATAAGGAATCCTGAGTGCCCAGCTCTGGCTTACAGAGTACATGGTCTGTGATCAACTGTCCCCTTCCCCCTCCTCTCTGTAGGGAGCAATGACGGTGCAGACCCAAGCCCAGTGGGGCAGAGACCCATCCACAGACATCCTTGACACCAAACCATGGGGTGGAGGTGGGGGGAAATGACACAGACAGCGCCATGATAAATACTGAGGAAAGCCCACAGGGAAGAGAGTAAGTCCAGCACTTCGGCCACCGTCTTGTCACAGAGTGAAGTAGTCGAGGCAGGAAGCTATTACTGAGAGATGGAAAGAGACTGAGCCATGATGTCATTGTATCAGCTCCTGGATCCTGCCATGCCTGAAGCTGGTGAACACTGGACACTTCGTGTACATAAGCCAGTAAGTCTCCTTTTGTGCTTAAGCTAGCTTGGGATGGTTCTGTATCACTTGTAACTCAAAAAGAATCCTGACTAATGCAGTGAGGAAAAGTTTCTCTCTCTTATTTCTTTGACAGGAATTTTCAAAGAGTGATGGATTTAAAACAATTTGCCTCCAAGATGGTTCCACAGGTTTGGGTTTAGTTTCAACAGGAGAGCCACAAAGGGGCAGAGGTGAGACGGAAATGGGGGCGCCCCCGGAGGTACCAGGCTTTGGTTGTGCCAGAAGCTGATGTTGACCGGCTCCCTGAGGTTGTTCACGTGTCCATGACCCAGCTAGGCTCCCAGGACATAATTATTGAGCAGAGGTGAGTTGGTATTCTGGAAGGACAGCAGAAAAAGGGGTGACTGGAGGGGACATGAGGAGACCCTGGATGAGGACTGAGAGCCCCCCTGCCCCAGCTCCTCCTTCCTGGGTAGGAGCCAGCAGCATGCCTCTCATGTGTGCAGCGTGGGGCCAGCCTCCCAGCCTGTACACGTTCTGTCCCCTCCCCGCAGCGCCCCTCCACTCTCCATGCATTGAATGTATTCTGGCCTCATAGCTCCCACCTCACCACTCTCCTAACTCATTCTCAAAGCCAAGGTTAGGAGGGACCTTCTCCAGAAGTCCCCCTGGTCTGCTCACTGGGAACCACCCCAACCCCACCCTGACTCACTCATCGCTTTGGATCCCTATGGCTGTGATGCTCCTGAGCTAAAATGAACTCACTAAGGTCCCTGTCTAATTGTCGAGCTCGGGAGCTCTCTGAGGACAAGGATGCTGTGACCTTCCTGTCTGTCTCCCACCATGGAACAGGCATATACAGAGCAGGTTTCTTAGGGCTCATTTGTCATTGTGCCTTCCACCATTTGCTGAAACTGAGACCCAGAGGGGGCAATGGCTGGCTTGGTTTGAACAGTAGGCTGGCCCCACTTGGTGCTGGTCGCTGCCCAGAGGCCAGAGAGTGGCATGAAAGCCTGCGGTGCCCCTGGGAAGGGGCCGGCGGCCCCCCTGCCTGGCTCGTGGCACTGACCTGGAAGAAGTGNTGAGATATAATTTACATACTATATAATCACTCATTTAAAGTGTGTAACTCAGTGGTTCTCAGTAGAGTTGTGAAGCCATCACCCTGTAATTGACTTCAGAACATTTTCTTCACCCCAAAAAGAAACAGCTACCCACCAGCAGTCACTCCCCATATCCCCCAATCTACCCATTCCCTAGGCAACCACTAACCTACTTTCTAACTTGCAGATTTGCCTATTCTGGACATTGCACATAACAGAACTCTACAATGTGTAGTCTTCTGTGACTGGCTTCTTTCCCTTAGCATGTTTTTCAAGGTCCATCCATGTTGAAGCAGGTAGTTCATTCATTCTTGATGCAAACAGTATTCCATTACATGGATATGCTATATTTTATTTATCAATTCACCAGCTGATGGACATGTGGTGGTTTCCACATTTTGGCTACTATGAATAATGCTGCCATGAAGACTCATGAACTAGTTTTGGTGTGGACAACTATTTTCATTTCCCTTGGATATATACTTAGGAGTGGAAGTGCTCAGTTGTATGGTAACTCGATATTTAGAGCAGAGCCCAGATTGGTGTGGAGGTCAGGTCTAGACCTTAAGGCCCAGGAGGATTTCTGGAGTGGAGGCACTGGCCACCCCCATCCCCTGCTGCCTTTGACCTGGGGCATTGGCTTCAGAGAGGCGCTGCTCAGCGACAGGCCGGGGAAGTCGCAGCCCAGCTTGAAAGCCAGGGTCTGGATGGTGTGTGCCTGCAAGGTGAGGCTGTAGCCCGGGAAGCTGGCATTCAGCAGCCTCCACTCCAGGCCACGCATGAGCCTGAAGGCAAGAGAGATGGCCAGAGCCTGGAGTGTGGGCTGGGCTGAGGGAGGCTCGAGATGGCCTGGAAGGCCGGGGCCTCCCCGACCCCACACCCTGGCACTCCCATCTCCAGACTGTTGCACACACAATGTCCCTGGCACACTCCTACTCCCCACCCCACTCCCCTGCTTCTCCAGATTAACTCTTATTCAGGTCCCAGTTTGCTGAAACCTCCTCTGGGAAGCCTTCCCTGGCCACTCCCCACTGAATGAGTAAAATACTCCATGGTCCCTGTGCTCCCTGGCCAGACATCAGCATTGACTTCCCACCCAGAGCTGTTCTGCCTTTGGGTCACAGACCCTGGACAGTCTGGCCCAAGTCTTGGAGCCCCTCCCCAGAAAAGCACAAAGACCCTGCAATTCTTCATCTGGTTTCATGGCATCCAAGGTTACGAGCCCCCAGCCAAATAGGAAACCTGATGAGAGCAGGGACATATCCAGCATCTCCAGAGTCTAGTGCCAGGTACACAGTAGGTACTCAGTAAGTGTGTGTTGAGTAAATGAATTAATGGTCTACACGGACAACCCTGGACCAGTGCAAGCTGGGGGTGGGAGGCACAGCTGACTCTAGGTGGGTGAGGACAGACACCCAACTCACTCAGCAAGGGGAGGAGTCAAGCTCCTCTTCTGGGTGGCCATCTCCATTTTCTCCATCCAGCGCAGGAGGTCTTGGGATGCCTCTGTGGGGAGCAAGTCAGACCTCCAGCCCAGCCTTTGTCTGCAGCAGCCTCTGGGCCTTCCACCCTAGCCTGAGACATCAGGTCACCCCAGGAAGCCTAAAGCCCCTTTTCAAATTCCCTTGGTTTGAGGCCTCCCTCTCTCACAGGGCAGCCAGGGGCCTGGACTAGGTTTGCACCCGCATCCCCCAGCTCCACAGAGCCTTCTTACCCACTGTCACACTGTGAGAAGTCACGAGGCACAGGCAGAAGAAAAGGGCCCCACGGTGATCCATGTCCTGTGCCCCGTCTCCTCCAAGAACCGGCTCCTGCCCTGGAAAAGGCAAGTGCTGTCATCACCATGGCAAAAGAGCAGCCTCTAGCATCTAGGTGTCCGGCATGTCCCATGGATAGGACATCAGTATCTTTGTGGTCCTCGCTACTCCTGCATTTCACAGACAGGGAAACGGAGCCCAGAAAGCAAGTGGTGGTACTTTGCTTGAGGCTCTCTGAAGCCAGGTCTCTATGACTGCAGAATCCTTGACTGTTTAGTAATGCCTGCCATTAGCAGCTCTACCTGAGTCACTAACCCCTCCCAAAAAGAATCTCTCTGGGGGCTTCTCTAGGGCCCTGACCTCACCCAGCGGGAGGTGGCTTGGGAATAAGCAACAGGTAGCCTGTCCAGCCCTGTCATTAGCTCCCCACATGACTCAGGGCAAGGATCTGTTCCTCTCTGGCCTCATTTTTCTTTAAATAAACTTGAGCTTAGATATAGCAAATTTATGTCTATCCCCTGAAACTCCACTAAAATGAGAGTGAATGAGTAAAACAGGCACTAATCCACACAGCCAGTCAATGAGAAAGAGGACAACAGCCGACAAGAGGTGTCAGCAAAACTTTGGAGGCTACAGTACAGGTGGCCACCTGGTAATAAATGTAGCAGGTCACAAAAAGTTGAACCCAAGTGTCTGCAGTGGGGAGAGAGGTGTGGAGTGGTCAGCTAGTCTCAGCCTCACAACCTAGGAGCACTTAAGAACTGAAGGCATTGGGAACCTCTGAAGTGGGGATGAAGAGTGAGCCTAAAAATGGGGGATTCTTGGTTGGAAGCCTTTAAAATGATCAGCTAGGTCCCCAGATCTCTGTCATCTGGGGTGTTCAGGGCCATTCCTCAGGACCCTACCATCCTCAACGTCACTCCAGCATAAAGTTCATTCCCTGGAGACCGTGCACCATGGAGAATCTGAGGGGAAGGGTGGGGTGCCAGTCAGATATAGAAAAATTAAGCCTTTATGCTCCCCACCTCCTCCTCTACCAGCTTCCAGAAGGCAGCAGAAGCTCGGTGAGGATGCTCCAAGGCAAGAGAGACTTCGTCTCTGAAGAACTGGCCACTTCAAGAACAACATCCTGTAGCTACTGATGTTTTAGTGTTCCTCACTGAAATGACCAGGACAATATTTATTGTGAAGGTTCACCAGTTACCGAGTCCTGCCAAGCAATTAAGCTTTTAGTGCCCCACTCTTGGAGATGAATGCCCACCCAAGGATCACTAGGTATTTTAAAACAAATACCCTCTTTCAGGAAGCTGCTGGAGGATGTGCTCCAACAAAATGAGGGTGTAAATCATAAGACATAGGGTAAAGGAAATGCCACCAGAGGAGAGGTGAAGGTACTATTTACTATGTAAGGATCTATCAGTAGAGGAATAGTTCAGAAATAGTTAAATAAATTGCAGTTCAGTAACACCCTGCAAAAGAGTTTAGCTATTTCTTATCAAATGAAACCTGCACCTATCACATGACCCAGCAGTCCCACTCTTGGGCATTTATCCCCGAGAAATAAAAACTCATGTTCACACAAAGGCCTGTATACAGACTTCACAGCAGCTTTGCTTGCAATAGCCCCAAATTAGAAACAATCCCAATGTACCTTCAATGAGTGAACAGTTGAACTGGGGAACATCCTTACCGTGAAATACAATTAAGCAATAAAAAAAACTATTGATACACACCACTTGGATGGGTCTCAAGGAAACTCTGCTGAGCACAAAAAGCAATCTCAAAATGTTGCATACTGTATGGTCTGATTTATATAACATTCTTGAAATAACAAAATTATAGAGATGGAGAATAAATGAGTGGTTGCCAAAGGTTGTGGGGGAGGGGGTGTTACTTTCTTGTGTGTTCTGTAATTGTTTGAGCTTTCTACAACAAGCATGTATTGCCCTCACAGTAGAAAAACAGGTTTTTTAATGATTAAGATTTTTTGGTGTGTGTTCCAAATGACTATCATTTTGAAAAAAATCATGGTGACGTATTACTTAGGAAAAACAAAAAAACACGTTGCAAAACAATGTAATCCAATCCTTGTAAAAAATCCTATTTTTTATATATAAAAATCTGGAAGATTCCCATCAAGGCATAAGAAGTAATCACTTCTGGGTTGTGAGATTCTGGATTTATTTTCTAAAATCCATACATTATAGTTACACATGTCTCAATTTTGATTTACTCTTCAGATAACTTAGATTTTACATCTTTCAAATATGAACAATAAATAAATACAAAAAAGGAATAAAATGTAAAGTATCTCTGCCTCATGTGTCTCCTGACCACTCAGTTCCCAATTAGTCACCCCCAGGCAACCTTGGTGTTAAAGTTTTGTGTATCTTCCAGAGTTTCTTCATACAAATATCAGCAAATATGATTTCCCCCATTTTATTTTTTTTAAAAAGTGGCACAATATACATACTGTCCTGCACTTTGCTTTTTTCACTTGAAAATATGTCTTGGAGAACTTTCCATAACAGTGCCTACAGCTCTACTTTTTCTTTGACTACTGCACGCATAATCAAATGTTGTAGGGATGAACCATAATTTACCCAACCAGTTCCTGGTTAGCAGCCATTTGTGCTGGTTCCAGTCTTTTGCACTTATAAACAGTGCAGCTGTACTTACCTTATTTCCCACATGTGCAAGTTCATCATCTGCCCATTTTTATATTGGGTTAGATTTTTCCTTGTGAACTTCTAGAAACTTTTTGCATAATAGGAAAATGAGCTCTTTGTCTATTATATGAATTGCAGATATCTTTTCCCAGTTAGCCATTTGCCTTTTAACACTATGTATAGTCTTTTCACCATGTAGAAATCTTTTTTCTGTTTATAATTTTTGTGTAATGAAAAGTACCATGATTTTCTCTTTTGGCTTCTGGATTTTGAGACATAGCTAGAAAGGCCTTCCCTATGCCAGTGTTATGAAGGATACCCCCTAAGTTTCTTCTAGTACCTTGAAGGTTTCACTTTTTACACTGGAATCTTAATCTATCTGCATTGACCCTGGAGTATAGTATGAGATTTGGAGGTGATTTTTTTCCAAGTGGTCATCCTTTTGTCTTAATACTACTGATTAATAAATGTGGTCATTTTAAAAGAGGATAGAGATTTTGGACTCATGGAGTGCTGCGTTCTTATTTATTGGGCTACTTGGTTATTTATCTGGCTGTGTTACCTTGAGCAATTCACTTACCCTCTCAGAACTTCAGAGAAGAGTTGAGGGAAAAGGTTTGGGGAGAGAAAGGAGCCGCTGAAGGAAACCATTTGAAACATTTCAGGAGAGAAACCCGAGGACCTGATAGTGCAGAAAGACCTCGGGTCATCCTGTCCACCCCTCACTATATGAATGGGGAAACTGAAGCCCAGACAGCCATTTGGCTTGACCTCCAGGGTTTGGAGCGTAAGGCTGGGTTCCTCCATCTGCAGAGGGAAAAGGGGCCTAACTTCACCAGCAGCTGGAGAAATCAAGGATGTAGCAGAAGTGACACCTCCTCCAAGCACCCCAAATAGAAGTTGTGGTTTCTACCCCTGCTCCCAAGAGCAGACCGCAATCTTCACTTCCACTTGTGACCTCCAACACCCCTCTTCAGCCCTCCAAACGGGCCACCACACACCATTCTCCCACACCTGCACCCATCTCATTCACCCTGTAATTCGTTACTTGGGGCCCTCTGGGAAACAGAAATCCCTCACCTGACTTCCAAGTTAGCTCCAGTTGATTGTGGGGAACCTGAAAACCACACAAGAGTTTGCCCAAGGTTACAGCCAGTGGTCAAGCTGGGACTCAAAACCTGGGCTGCAGAAGCCAGGTCCAGTGCTGTCTTCACCTCGTGTGCTGCAGCCTCCCAAAGATGGCTGTGTGGACAAGTGAGACTCTATTTAGGTCAATAGACAGACGAGGAGGCATGCAGAGCACAGAATGGAGCCTTCGGAAGATGCAAATTTGATAACCAGTTCCAGTACTCAGTGCCTGGGCTATGAAGTTGGGCAAGGAACTTGACTTCTCTGCACTTCCAGTTTTTTCAACTGTGAAATGAGACCAAGGAGACTTATTTCCCAGGCAGAGAGACTCAAACAACCACTTCCATGAGCCTCACTTCAGAGAATCAGAGCCTGACCCACGTCTAGAGCTCTGACCCAAAGTACCCAGCCAGGACTACATCTGAGCACAAGACTTGGGGACCCCTGCCTCCCTCCCCAGAGCTGACCATGCACACCCCCTGCCCATCCTCTCCCCAACAGCGCCAGGACCTGCGAACCAGCCAGGTTCCCAAATAGAGTCCCAGCTACTCCTGCCAACCACAGCTTGGAGCTGCCCCCTCTGGCCTCATTCACTGAGGAATGAACCTGTGGTCTCTGAAGAAAACCCTGACAGGTGCTATTATTAGCCCCATTTTACAGGCAGAGAAAGGGAGGACACGCTAGAGCCCAACAGGGAGCCTGATGGAGCCAGCGCCAGAGCCTTCTTCCTGAGACACACTGTCCCCAGGCTGCAGTCCAGGTGCCTCTGGGAGGAGCTGCACCTGCTCCAATCCGCCCAGCACAAACTCTGTGCCAGGCCCTCATCATTGACACCTGAGGTACAGGTTACTAGAGTAACCCCATTTTACAGATGAGGAAACTGAGGCCCAGAAAAATCTAATAACTTGCCCCATTCACATGTGGGGAGTTAAGATTTGAACCCAGTGCCTAACAACTCCTTAATTTAAATCCTCCCTGTTTTTTGGAAACAAAGATTTCTACACTCCCTGAGATTTAGAGCTGCCCCCAGAGGCCCAGGAAAGGGTGAAGGGAAGGAAGGTGGATCCCCGGCTTGTTGCTCTGGGGAGGCCCCCAGTCCTGCCCTGGCCTGGGCAGGGCCATGCCCAGTGCACATGGGGGAGCCTGTGGACAAGGACAGAGAGCTCGGAGAGTGGGGAGGAGAGGCCCAGAGGGGCTGACCTGTGAAGCCTGCTGCTGCTGTCCTGCTGTGTCTGCTGTCTGCAGGAAGAAGGGGAAGGCAGGAACTTCTGTGCTGTGGCGGCCTCTCAGGCTCTCCCCTCCCCACACCCCACACCCGCACATCTTCACTTCTCCCTGCTCTCTTCACCCCATGCTGGCACACCGCATTCTCACTTCACTTCTTTCACCATTAACAGCCTTTTTGTCTTCTCTGAGCAGATGGCTTGCCCAGATGACCCACCGGTCTCAATCCCTGGAGCCTCCAGCACTTCCTTTGCAGTGTTTCCGTGTTGCACTGAGAGGGGGAAGGCTAGCCAACCCAGCACGCTGCAGGGCTCAAGACCCCTCACTTCCGCACCCCTGGGCAAGAGATGCCACCTCCCTGAGCTTCAGTTTCCCCACCTGTAGAAAAGGGAGTATGAACCCTGGATCACAATCAATGAGGTTGATGCTGGCAAGGCCCTCAGGCAAGGGCTGAGTCAGGCTGCAGGGCTCGAGTATCATTTACTGGCTGGGTGACTGAGCAAGTGATGGAAACTCTCTGACCCCTGGTTTCCCATCTGTGAACTGGAGATAATGAGAGCAGCACCTCCTGGGGGAGTGCAGGGCTTATATAAGGTACTGCAAAGCCACCAGAAGTGCCCCAGAAAGCCCCCATGCTTCACAGAGGGGTAGCCTGAGGCCTGGAGAGGACAAGGGCCTGGCCCAGAGTCACCCAGTGCAGAGCTCTCTGGGGAAGGGCCTTACTGAGGGCAGAATTCAGAAAACATGGCCCAAATTGTGGGTCTAGAAGACCAGCTCTGAGTCAGAGGCCTAGACAAGCCTGTCCTCCAGCCACTTCCTCCACAGAACCCTAAGGGAAAGGGGAAGCAGCTGTTGTGTTGGTGGGGTGACCGGGTACTCTCTCTTGCTCAGGCCCTAGCCAGACACTCTGGGAGAACTCTGACTCAGGAATGCACCTTTCTGCTCCCCAGGATGAGATGGGGGTGTAGCAACAGGGACAAAGCAGGCAGGTCCTAACACAGTCTCCCTCCTCTCTGCCCCCACCCCAGGGCCCATTGAGCATCAACCTAAGCCCAGACCCCAGGTAGCTCAGGAAGGGGGTGGGGAGCTGCTCCTTGGAGGGCAGGGAGATCTGGGGAAGCACAGGTCCACATATCCAGACCCCTGCTGGGTGCAGTGCAAAGGCTTTGCAGGGATATTGGTGTACCTGGGCCCTGACCCCTCAGTCACACTCCTGTGGGGTGACTTGGGCAAGCCCTTGCCTTTGTCTGTACTTTGGTTTGCTATGACCACAACCCAGACCTTGAGCTCCAGGCCCTTCCTCTCTGAGATCTCCTGCCTACCTGTAGGGCTGCAATGCCAGCAGCCTTCCACATGCTGTCTGACCCCAGATGGCTGCTCTTGGGCCCAGGGGGAAGCCCTGCTTACCCGGAAGCCCCTCTATTTTCCATCCTGGATCTGTGCCAGCCTCATGAAGCCCTGCCTCAGTTGGGGAAGCTGGTTTTACTTAGCCCACTCTCTAGATCCTGGAACTCATCGACAAGACACCCCCACCTCAAGAGCCAGCAGTGGCTCCCAACTGCCTTCATGGTCTAGCCTCTACTTCCAACCAGCTCCAGATGGGCTTGCCATAGTCACACCTACCTCCCTGCTCTGTGGTCCCAGCAATGACATGTACCTGGGCAGCATGCCAGCTCCTCTCTATCCCTCAGGGCTCAGCTTGAGTGCTGCCTCCTCTGGGAAGGTACTCAGCTGCCAGCTCCCCTAAAAAATACTCCAGATGCTTCAGCCTTAGGAGGCATGTCAGTCCCTTGTTCAGTCCCCAGGCAGGCAGGAGGGCAAGTCACCGCCTACATCTGACCCTGGGAAAGCCACCCACCATCCCTAACGAAGTATCCCTCCACAGGGGGCTACTCACCCTAGTGATCAGCAAGAGGATGGTGAGGACCCTGACAGGATATTGGATAAAATGAGTCACACCTTGGAAAAGTCATTTACTTTCCGTCTTTTTCAGTCCTGGCTGCATCAAGGAGAAGACTGTGTTTAGAGCTAAGTGGTGTCTAACCCTTTCTACCCTGACTTGTGTCCTTTCGGTTTCATATGTTAACCTTTAATTGTATGTCGACATAGAAGACAAAATAACTTATTTTTAATGATTTTTTGTGGAAAAATATACATAAAATGTACCCTTTGAACCATTTTGAAGTGTACAGTTCTGTGAACTAAGTGTATTCATATTTCTATGCAACCATCATCACCGTCCATTACTAGAACTTTGCCATCCCCCCAAACTGAAACCCTGTTCCCATTAAACAGTAACTCCCTACTCCCCACTCCCCACAGTTCCTAGTACCTACCATGCTACTTTCTGTCTCTGTGGATTTAACTGTTCTAGGAGCCTCACAAAAGTGAAACCACAATATCTGTCCTTTGTGACTGGCTTATTGCACTTAATATAATGTCAATCCATGACATAGTGTGCTATCACATTTTCCTTCCTTTTTAAAGCTCAGTAATATTCCTTTGAGTGTATAGACCACATTTTATTTATCCTTTTATCCACCAACAGACACCTGGGTTGTTTCTACATTTTGGCTATTGTGAATAACGCTGCTATGGACATAGGTGTACAATTATGTCCCTTTTAACAATGAGAAAGTTTCTAGCTGGATTTCAATACCATGGCTTACATATTAATTTTTATGATCATCCTCTCTTTACATTAACTGAAACAGATTTCCTGTTTCCCCTAGAATACAAATACATCCTAAAAAGTTATATGATTTAAAGAAAAAATGCTCTGTGCTGATGGCAAGAAGTGGTGAAATAAGTGTAGTGCTGAAGTGTGGGAAATATTAACACAAGCCTCAGTCAAAACCCCACTGTGGAGGCGGGTGGGTGGATGGATAAAAATGCACAAAATCTCAATCATAATATAAGCTGGTCTTGGGGATGGAAGCGCAGCACGGAGAATATAGTCAATGGTTCTGTAATATTTTTCTATGTTGACAGTATCTGTACTAGTTGGAGTGAGGATTTAATAATGTGGGTAACTTTTGAACCACCTTGTTATAACTTGAAACCAATATAACATTGTACACCAACTATACTTCAATTTTTTTTTTTAAACCCACCATGCTGAGCTGGGGAGAGAAACCCCTCAGGGGGGCACTGGGAAGCTAATACCAGATTAGCACTGCATCCAGAGAGCTGCCTGGGCGTGTAGATTTAGGGCCAGGCAGGGAAATAGTAAAATCAAAAAATTCAGATCTGGGCTCTGAGACCTCCCCAGCTGTGTGGCTCTGGGCCTATCACTTGACTTCTGATTCTCACTTTTCTCATGATGGCATGATGATAACAACACCCAGTTTACAGAATGGCTGCAAAACTAAGGTAAGTCATATGAACTGCTAAGTCTAGGGTCAGCATCCATCTTGGTTCTATGACTGGATGACTGGGTGCCACCCCCGACCCATCCACCCCTCACTCCCTACCAGAGATACCCTTAGGACAGTTTTTTCACTTTCTCTTTTAAGAGAGAGGGTTCAGCATTGCTGATGTTATAACTGGACCTTAGTTAGGTTCACCATTGACTCAGTCTTCTCCACTTACTCCACCTGCCTCTTTTACTTTCTCCAGCCCTATTTGCACCTCCAGAAATGCCAGGAAAGAACCCAGGGCTCTTGGCCCATGGCTGTCCTTAGTGGCTGCCAGACTTTGGGTAAGTCTGAGCCAAAAGCCAAAAGCATTTTCCCTGCTTTAAAATGGGAACACCCCTGACCTCTGAGTACTCAGTATCTGAATCTCACCGGCCCCAGGTGCATGCAGTGAGCAAACGTCAGCCTTGTAACAGTTACACATTAGTTCCTTCTCAAACACCATATCCCCACCCAAATCGGCCTCTGGATGATTGTCACATGCTATCAACTTTTAACCATGCAAATGGAAAGCAAGCAGACTGACAAGCGAACTACAAATTTTGCACCAAGTATGGAATTTCAGGAAGTTGATGGAAGTAGTGCTGTAGGAATGGAGCAGCAGCTGACCATAGAAGAGAACATCTGTAAGATGGCAGCGTCCTTCAGAAGAACTGACTATGGACAATCCAGAGTGACCCCTGGGTGTGAAACCCTCAAACACTTTTGCAAATAGCACCCTCCTGTTAGCCAAAGTCGATTCTCTGCTCATTTTAATGTGTGCAAGGTTGCAATCATAATCTAAATATTGTTAATCATAGGTTAAAACTAATTTATCTTAATCACTTTTCAGTTTCTTTTCAAGATAAAGACCGTCTCCTCCCCTTATCTCTGTGTATTTCTGGTCCTTTTTTGGATGGGTTCACCTCAGTGGGCCTCCCAGCGTACAGGATGTGTTGAGGAGAGGCCATCCCAGCGTCCACCGCCCATTCTCCGGGCAAAATGTCAGACATTCTACTCCCAAGGGAAAACAAGCCCCACAGCCACTGGGTGCAAACGGGAGCGAACAAAGGGGAAACTGAGGCCCGGTGAAGGGCAGAGACTCGCTGCTCCACGGCCAGTCGGTGGCAGGGTTGGCACTTGGCAGAATGTAGGTAACAAAATGAACAGTTGGAAAGCACGCTCCTCCACGTGCTGAGCCCGAAACAGGCGGTGCCAACTTCTGTAGCGCCTAGTACCTCGTTGGCGCTCGGGAAACCTGAGGCGGGAAAGACGAGGCCCATCAGGTCCCCTGACCCTGACTTCCGTCCCCCCACCCTCGGCCCCAAGCAGGGGTGGGGCCTCCGCCCGGGTCCGACCCGGTCTCTAGCAGAATCAGCCACCCCGACCCGCGCCCCTCGCCCCAAAGTCCGGCTGGTGCCCCCACCCCGGCAACTCGGCGGGCCGGGGTCGCTGCTGGGCCGCAGCTTGCCGGGGGCCCAAGCGCCCCCGCCCGCCGTCTCCTCTCCCTCCCCTCCCCCGGGACGGGAGGAGGAGGAGACTCCGCGGCCCTCCCTCGGCCCTCCCGGCGGCGACCGCAGCAAGCCCCGTGCCCGCTCCGCCCAGCCGCGGCGGGTCGGACGTCCGGAGTCCGCGGGACAGCGGCCGAGGTGAGCGGGAGCTGCAGTGCAGGGGACGGAGAGCCACCGTATCCCGGAAACTCTCTCCAGGCCGCTAGCTTTCGGCGGGAGGGAAAGGGTTACGTTGGGGGGCATGCTGGATGAGAGGGGAGCAGCAGAGGCTCCCGCGTCCGCAGCAGCCCCCAAACTCAGAGAGAACTTCCTAGCCTCCTTCCCGGGCTCCCCCACCTCCTGGGGCCCGAGGCCTCGGGTGCCGAGGGGCTGCCGGGGGAGGGGAGGGCAAGGCCGCCTTCGGAATGCAGCGGCTCGGGGCTGGACGAAAGGGGGGCGACGGGCGGGGGCGGATTTGAAACTCTCCCGGGGGACCCAACGTAGTCACCACCGCGAGTGCGGGATGGACAGGCGACGCCGACCAATCGAAGCACAGCGCCACTGCCCCAGGCCCTCGGCGGCTGCCAATGGGGGCCGCGCGGTGGGATGGGCGGGACCGCGCTGCACCGAGTCGGGAGCCCCGTCCGCCTTCGGCTTGCCGCCCACCGCCCGCCGCTAGGGGGAGGGGGACGGCTTGCTGGACCCGGGAGGCTGGGGGTGGCGGTCGCGACGGGGACAGAAGTGAAGACTTAAGGCGACTCTTGGTCGTGGGAAGGCAGAAGCGAATTTCTGGAAAGAGTTGGGGCAGGTGGAACGGTGGCTCAGTGCGAGAAGGGCGTGGGCCTCAGTAGCCCCACCGTTCTGGTGGAGCCAACGGGTGGTATCTGGCAAGCCCATTCCCTCCGTGGGGTGTCTGTTTCTGTTATCTTAAGTGCGGGTTGTGTGTCCGGGTTGAATTGGTTCACATTGGCACAAGGCCTGCCCACCAGTTGGACAGAGCTTTTAGGAATCTTGTCAGTGCCTCTTGTCATTGTACAGGTAAAGGAAACAGGTTCAGAGAGGTCAGGGAGTTTCAGACATCACACAGCATGCCAATGCAAAGCTGGGACTTAGTGGGATTTGTGCTGTCCAAGACTGAATAGTTCAAGGACTTGTTGAAAGGCCCAGGGCTGGGGTCCTGCCCCGTGAAAGGCTCCCACCCCCTCCCATATCAGCTATGCTTTGCCACTTGGTCTGGTGCCTGAGGATTGTATCCATAGGTGCCCCCAGGGCGTTGTGCCCTTCAGATACACATGACCCAGGAGGGGAGGCATCCAATCCTAGCATTCCAGCACCCCACACACAACGCTTCCTCCCACTTTGCTGCTGGCCTTCTATGAGGCTGTGGGCAAGTAGCTGCTCCTCTGAGCTTCAGTTGGCCCATTTGTAAAGAAAGGAGTTCTACTCTGATCTAGCTTTGTGGCTCCTTGGTCTGAGATGGGGGGACGTGGGCTGCCTTCCCTAGAGCCCAGCTTGGCCCCCTCCTCTCACCCTCTCAGACCTGTCCTGGAGGTTTAATGGCTGGAGCCCAGGCAGCGGGTCAGAGGGACAGGTGCCTGTAGTTTGTGGGCTGACCAGCCTTGGACCCTGCATTTATCCAATCAGGCTGTCCTCTGTGGTTTCCTGCCGGGCTCTGCTCCCTGCCCACAGCCAGGGCTGTGAGCGTGGGCCAACCCCAGAGCCCCCCTGAAAGGTTCTGGGAGGACATAGTTGGTTTCTGTGCTGGGGGAAAGAGTTGGGCCACTGGGCAACCCTTAACCCCCTCAGCTGGCCCCCATCCAGCCTTCAGCATTGCTCACTCCTCTCAGTGGATATTGAGTGTCATCTAAACCTGCTGGGGACAAAACAAAGTTGTCCCCCTGTGGACCCATTAGGCTTCCTGAGTAAAAGGTCTGACCCCTGACCATGAGATGACCTCTGTCTCTGACCTTGGCCACAGACAGGCTCAGACATCTGCCTATCTGGGAGCCTGGCCACAAAGTGACTCTTGATCCCTGGGATGGCTCAGCCTTCCTGGTCACAAAGGGACCCCTAACTTTCCATCTTCCATCCGTCAGCCCTAGTAGCATTTATACAGCACCTGGTGTATGCTGGGCCCAGTGCTGACAGCCAGTGAGACCAAGATGCCCTTGTGGACTTCACAGTGTGACCATTGCTAAAGAACAGGGGGGTGCCATTGCTTTGGAAGCACTATCATATGTGTAGAAGGTCAGCAATGGCTTCCCAGAGGAAGGGAAGCCAAGTGTGGGTCTTGAAGTATGTGTAGGAGTTTGCTGATGGGGAAAGAGAGACAGAGACATTCCAGACAGGTCCATGAGCAGCAGGAACTGTTGTGCACTTTCTGCGGACAGGGTTGATGAGGGCCTAGCCTAAAGTAAGTATCAGATCAAAACATTCTTGTTTCTGTCCTAGAGTGGGCCAGCAGCTGCCTGGGGCAGTGAAGATGGCTGTGGAGCTGGGGTTCAGGAGCTTTGAGTCCCCCTCAAACCTGCTGCCCAGCTAAGGGGACAAAAGGTCATGGTTTATCCTTGTACTCCCCACCAGCCAGTTTTAAGCAAACCTTATATGCAGGGCCTGTCCTAGAAGCTCTGGGTGGCACAACTGTCTGTCCCTTCTGGGCTGAGGGGAGAGCCTCTGCTGCTGGCCAGATCTGGCTGTGGAAGGTTATAGGGCTGTGCTCCCTAGGTAGGGATGGGGCAGGGGGGATCAAAGCATTTCCTGGAGGTGGTAGAACTGAGCTTGAAGGATGGGTGGGGGGGGGTTCAGACTCTGAAGGGGGTATTCTAAGTAGGGGGAACAGCCTGAGCAGAAACCCTGAGGGCTAGAGCAGGAATAGACCTGTCTGGCTGGTGGGGGGCCAGAGAAGGAAGAGTGAGGTGGGGAAGGCTCCCTGGGGCCTGTGGTGGCTGGTCCCTCCTTGATCTATTCCTTGGATGGGGGGTCACACCCTGGGAGGATCAGGAAACCACCCCCCCACGCATATATATGCACACTCTGGTGGGGAAGGGTAGCTGGAGCCTCTCTCTCTAACTGCAAGCCGAGCCTCTGTGTTGCATCTGATTCTCGGTGAGTGTGTACATTACCAGGGCTGTGTGAGTGTGTGTCCCCAAGGCTGTGCTATGTGAGTGGGGTGGGGGTGAGGGAAGGCATTGCTAGGAAAGGTCTGGGTGCCCTTGCATCTATGTGGGTGTGCAGGGTTCCTGGTGAAGTGGGGTTGGGTTTCTCCAGAAAATCAACCATGGGACCCACCCTGCACACACACTCCATGGGACCCTGGACCTGCAGGAGGACTGTTCAGAGCTCCTCTGTCCCCACTGCTCCCCACCCTCCTCCCCCAGTCCCCAGAAGGGACCGGGCTGGCTGCTGGAAAGGGAACAGTAGTTGAGTCTGGAGCCCACCCCTGCCTTTAGTGTGGGCACCTGGAAGCCATTAGGGGCCTGGGTGGCGCCTGCCCTGCGCCTGCACAACAGGCTTGGGATTCCTGGAAGGAGTGGGCTGCCCCCTCCCTGCCAAGCCCCATGCCAGGCGTGGCAGCTCTCAGAGAGGAAGTGGCTGTGGCCCCCTCCCTGCCACCCTTTCAGTTCAGGACCTGCAGGAAGGGCCTATCAGACTGGGACCAGACCCCAGGACCTCCTCAACACCCCCCATTCCCAGCACAGTTCTGGCTGGGCTGCCAGACTGGCACTGGGATTTCCTGCCTCCTCCCCTCCCCCACAGGCTCTCACATTGTTTTTCTTTTCCAAGAGCTTCTCCATATGGAGCTGGACCAGGAAAATGGGGAGAGAAGGAGTGTGAGTGTACATTTGCAAGTTTGTGTGTGGGCATCTACTTGTCTTAGAGATGAGTATCTTTGCACGTGTCTGGGTGTATCCATCTATGTGTTGGCATGTATATGTCTACAGGTGAGTCTGTGACTATACCTACAGGTGAGTGTTTCTCTGTGCATCCGTATAGTTGTGTCTGCACATGGGTGTGTCTCAGAGCATCCATGTGCCTGCCCATGTCTCTGTATCTGTGTTTATGTGTCAAGGATTGTGTGTGTGTGTCTACAAATGTATCTAGGTGGGCAAAAATGTCTGTGAATGCACATGCCATTGAGGCAAGCCTTCTCATTGTGCAGGCAGAGACTGAGACACAGAGAAGGCCCTCAGCCTACCAGGGATCCCTCAGGGAGTCAGTGGCATATGGGAAACCAGAAATTGGATCTACAAGGCTCAGTCTGGGTGCATAACTTTCTGCAGGTGTATTGGAGTTGAGACATACGAGTTTGTGTGTATGGAACAATGGGTGGTGACAAGGCATCACCAAATACTCCAGTGTCCCAAACTTGGACTATTAAAATGCAAATTCTCAGCCACACACGTACTGAACATGACCCTCTGGGGGAAGTGAGGTCCAGAAACTGCCTTTTAAAAACAAGTGTCTAGATGAATCAAGAAGAACTGGGCTTCCTCACCCCTGCAGGTGAAGAAGCTGAGGCCTAGAAAGGGGCAGTAGCTTACATAAAGTTGGTGAGAGAACTGGGCCTAGAGCTGATGCCTGGTGAAGGCAGACAGACAAGAAGCAAACAGCAGAGGGACAAAAGAATATAGGAGAATCACTGAGCAGCAATGAGGAACCGAGACGCTAATAGTCACAAAGTCAAACCAACACTGGTCTACGTGGTGATGTACAACCTGCAATGTCTGATTGTACAGGTGAAAGCAAGAGCAGGCAGAGCAGTGGAAGTGACCAGCGCTGGCATTGCCTGGAGACAGGAACAGGGGAGGAGGCTGGGTCACTAAGGGTATCTCCAAGGGTGAGATTAGGACCTGCGACCAGGAGCTGAGCAAGGGGAGGAGGGATGGCATGGACAGTGGGGACAGTGGGATCAGTGAGCTATAGCTCCTTTTGGGAAGGAAGAATTTGGGGAGATGGGTGAGCTTGGAATTGACACTAGTGAGAGAGAGGTCACAGCTACCGGTAATAACAAAGAGTGGGCCCCTGGCATGATCAGGTTTGAATTTTTAAAAACCTACTCTGGCTGCTGATGTTAAAAATGGATTTTAAGTGGGTGGGTGGGGAGCTTGGACAGGAAGGGTGGTGGCTACAGTCACCCAGGTGGGAGATGATGGTGGTGCCTTGACTGGTTAGTGGCAGGGTAGGAAGAAAGTGGATAGGTATATATGATGGGTGGCAGACAGACTGGCAAGATGTGGAGGTGGCAGGCTGCAGGGGCAGGAGATCCTGGGAGGAGGCAGATTCCAGAATATCCCCCACAATGTGAAGGAGCGAGGAAATTCTCTTCTGCCAAAGGGGCATCCACGGGGAGAAGCTGGTTGTGGGGGAGGGAGAAGGTGAGTTCCATTTTGACAGGCTGAGTCTGAGTTGTCTGAGGGACACCCAGGTAGAGGTGCAGGAGATTGTGGAGGGCAGCCAGGGCTGGAGAGAGAGATGTTCAGGGTTACTGAGGACATGGCAAGAAGGCTCAGGTGGGGACAAAGAGAGAAGGAGGCCCAGGACTAGGTGACACCATCAAGGGAGAGCCCAGCGTGCCCCCTCGGAGGCGATGGGGGTCATCCAGGGAGTAGAAGGAAACCCTGGAGAGTGTGGTGTTCCGGGAAGAGAGTGATCAAGAAAGCAGGCAGGATGAATGGTGCCCAGAGCTAGAGAGGGCACACTGGTGAGGGCTGAGACTGCCCAGTGCTAGGGCAGTGGGGCTGGAAGCCAGTTTGGCATAGCTGATGAGAGAAAGCAAGGGAGGTAGACAGAATGGAGACAGCAAATGTGGACCACTTGATGGGCCCTGGAAGGGGGAAAAGGGGGTTGGTGAGAGGAACATGCCAGCAGAGACTCCAGCAGGGGTGAGGCCCCCTGGGAAAGGGCATCATTGGCAGGGATGGGAGAAACTGCAGGGTCAAAAACCTCCTTTGACCCAAGGAGGGAGAGCCCCTCTATCCTCTTGGGGGCAAGGACAAGGGACTTGGGGCAGGACAGGAAGGGAGTGCCAATCTGGGGGGGTTAGAGGTTGGAGGAGGGTGAAGAGGGGGCACAGGGGGTTGACCAGGCAATGTCGGGACCAGCCACTGTGAAGCACCACTTTCCCATGGTGCTGAGAGTCCCACAGGCACAGCAATGGTCAGTCTCTTAGAAAAGGAAGGGATGGCCATCAGGGCAGGGCCTCAGGGGCCGAGGTGAGGCTCTCTGGGACAGGCGCAGCAGAATGGGGGAAGGGAGGGCGTGATGACAGGAAGGGCTGCAGCTGATGGTCAGCACAAGACCGCAGTGGAGGGAGAGGGTGGGTGGCAGGTTAGGGATAGAGAGGGACATGTATCACCTCTCTTAGGGACTATGGCCCATGAGTAGCAGAGCCCAGCGGTGAAAAACCTCCCTGCACCACACACCCACTGCATGGCTGTTTCCATCACACCACCAGGCACGCTTGTTCGCATCTGAGCTCTAGATAGCGTATCTGCATGAACTCTGGGGCTTTAACCTTGCTGAGCCTCCTTTTCCTCTTTGGTAAATGGTGATCATTTCTCTTGAGTCTGTTGAGAGGAGATAGTTCACAGCAGGCCCTGGGCATGGTATCTGGCCTGTAATTGGTCCTTCACAAATGTCACTGTCATTGTCATCATATGTTGGGACTGAAACTGTGGCCAGGAGCCAGTCGCTGCTCTCAGCAAACTCACAGTCTGGGGTGAGGATGGGGAGCAAACAAGGACATAGAAATAAGGTACAGCAAGGCTGGTTAGCATAGTGATGATAAGCTATAGTGACGTGGGCCAGGGCTAGCCACCTGGCCTGACGTGGTGCGGGAGGCATTCTAGGAGGAAGTGACATCTCAGATACATTTTAAGGATTAAAGGTCTAGTGGAAGATGCAGGGAGGGGACCATCAGCAGGGGCAGCACAAGCCTGCTGCGTTCTGGGTGGAGATGGGGAGTGCCATACCCCATTCAGTCAAGAACAGCAGATCAAAGTTTCAGATCAGCTGCCGTTGCTGCAGGGTGAAGGGACTGGAAAGGGGAGGCTCTCTTGGCGCAGACCACTTTCTCTCCTACTGCCTTTGCCCATGCTGTTCCCTCTGAGGGTCACTCCTGTCGCCAGGCTGATCTTATGGTTATCATCTGTGGATAACCTCAACAGCCTAATAACAGTTGTGTTCTCCCACAGGTCAGAGGAGACAGTCCCCACCCGGCGGCTGGGAGAGAAGTGGGTAGTGGTGGCCAACATGCTCAGTGGTATCACTTCCAGCACGTGTCTCCCGCGCCACCCCTGAGTTCGGCCACGAGTCTGAACCCAGGGCCGAGGGGCTGCTCGCCCACCCGCGCAGCGGCACCATGAGCCACGGGCCGAGCCCCCGGCTGGCCGAGTCCCTGCAGCTGTCCAAGGGCAGCCTCCTGAAAATCCTGGACAGCCTGTCGCCCGAGCGCATGGGCCCGGCCGACTCGCTGCCGCCCACCCCGCCCAGCGGCACGCCCTCCCCAGGGCACCGCGCACGCTGCCACTGCCCCCGCCACCCACGCTACTGGCGGACGGGGACTGGGAGAGCCGCATGGAGCTGCGGCTGCGGGAGCTGGAGGAGGCGCGGGCGCGGGCTGCGCAAATGGAGAAGACCTATGCGCTGGTGGTCGGACTGCACTGCCAACTGGCGCGAGAAGTGGAGCAAGGTGCGCGCTGAGCGCGGAGGTGCGCCAGCAGCGTCAGCGTCTCCACGTGCTCACCAAGGAGCTGGCGGGCGCGCGGCGGGAGCGCCAGGAGGGGCAGGGCGAGTGCGAGGCGCGGGGCTGAGAGCTGATGCGGCTGCGGGGCACGCGAGGATCCACCGACAGGACGCCCGATGGTCCCGAGACTGAGCCAGAGCGGGAGCACGAGCAGGTGCGCGATGTCGGGTAGGAGAGGCCTCAGGGCAGCCAGGTGCTCGGCCAGGGAGGGGCTGCTGGGCGGGGCCTTAGCGCTGCTCTAGAAGTGGGAGGGGCTGCTGGGCCTGCGCTGAAGTGGAGGCAGCGGGTCCCACAGAGGGTAATGAGGGCTTGGTCACCCACGACGTTTCAGTCTTCCGAGTCGGGNCCTTCTGGAGATCCCCACGGTGGACAGTCCCAGGTTCTGGAGGTCCCTACACTTTCACACTCAAGTTGTCAGCAGAACCAGGAAATCATTCCCATTGAGAAGAAGCAGGGGCTAAGAACTTGCCTGAAAGGTATGTATTGATAGCAGATCTGAATCCCTTCATTCTTTCAACTTGAATTTGGAAGAGGGAGAAACTGTTATAACCCTTATCAATCAAAGCTGATGGGTGGGGTCTTGTCAGGGCACTGCGAGCCCAGAGGAGGTCCCTGATCCAGGCTTTGGGGATGGAGCTTCACAGAAGCTTTCCTGGAAGAGGTCCCATATAAGCTCAGACTACCAGGAGGCAGAGTAATTAGCTGTGAAAAGTGAAGGAAGACATTCTAGGCATGGAAGCTGCCTGTGCTAAAGCAATAGTAACATCTTCCATCATTCAGAGTGTCCCTACTGGAGGGCTAAGCTCTGCAGGTGTGCTGTGTGGTCAGTTCTCACAGCAGCCCCTGAGGTGTTTGCTTAAGAGACTGGGACACTGAGGCACAGAGGTTAAATACCAGTGGCTCCCTGCTGGTCAGTAGAGTTGCTGAGTAGTTGAACCAATGTGAACTCCAGAGTCCATAGTAAAAATCAGTTTGGCTGGGTGTAGAGGGCAGGCCTGTCACCAGCAGGCCATCTAGGAGCAGAATCAAGGCTCAAGTTGCTCCCAGATCCATTTCAGATGGGCCAGTTCCCACAGTTAAAATTCTAGGCCACCCCCTCCCACCCACTAACCTGTCCAAGCCCCCACCACCCTTGTAGGCTATAGTGGGCACTTCTGCCCACCTCTTCCCTAGGCCTGCCTGGGGTGTGGAGGTGACTTTCATTGCCCTTCTGTGTGGCAGGCAATGCGCTTTCCTTGTCTGGTTGTCAGTGACAGTCCAGGAGGTGGCAGGTGAAGCAGTGGGAGGTACTGCAATTGGGGCTACAGTCTGAATTTGCTCTCCAGGCCAGTTACTAATGTGCTCTGTGATCCAGAAATCCTTTTCCTCCCTTTCCGTATTTGTGAAATGGGGCTTTGGAACAGGTGGCATCCAAGGCCGCAGTGAGACAGTCTGAGATACAGGAGGAGGAGTGGAATCTCTCCTTGGGGCATCTCAGGGCCACTGTCCCAGTCCAGATAGGGAAACTGAGGGCCAGACAGGGAAGGGGCTTGCCCAGACCCATCTGGAAGGGCCCTAGAGGAAGCCAGGCTGGAACAGAGGTTATGGGGTCTCAGGTTCATGGTCGGAGGCAGGCCTTGGGGGTGGGCAGGGGCAGGCTGAAGGGACAGAGGGGAAGGGGAGTCTGGAGGGATTGAGGGAGACTTGGCATTGAGTTAATAAGCCCTCATCATTTCCTGTCTGGGAGCTGATTTCTGCTCACAGGGGCCACCCTACTAAGCCTCTTTTACCATACCACTTATCTCCCAATGCCTTAGTGTTTGCACCTGAAAAATAGGATCTTAAAGTCAGAATTCTTTTGAGGGAATCTAGTTCTTATCCATTGTCAGAATCCCAACTTCTTTATTTATTCATACCCATGTCCTAATATATGATTGCACAATTCCAATGACAGGAAGCTCACCACCTGTGCTGGGAAATTTTCCAGGATTTCCTGGAAGAAAATTGGTGGCTGACAATGCAGATCTGGGAGGTGAAGGGGAAGGCCCAGAGGCCGGTGTGTCCCTCCTTCTCCAGGGATGCAGAGGCAGACTACAGAAGAGGACTGTGGCCCTGAAGGGCTGTGTGACTTGCCCAGGGTTGCCCAGCAGGCTGATCCTGATCCAGCGCCTGGGAGAAGCCATGAGGAAGGCCAAGAGTGTGAGGGCTCACCAGCCACTGTCCCAACCTCCATCTTGTTCCCCACAGGAGTTGGAGCTAGTGGAGAACCTGCTAAAGAGCAGACCAGAGGCACCTGAGGGATGCTGGGAGGCACGCAGCGTGGGGGCTGGGGGCCCACGGGGCAGCTTGGGCCGCCAGGAGCGCAGCCGGCTGCCCTGGGAGGACACAGCCACCATTGAGGAAGATGCATCCAAACTGACCGCCCTGCGACTACGGCTGGATGAGTCCCAGAAGGTGCTGCTCAAGGAGCGAGAGTGAGTCCCCGAGGCAGGAAGGGGCCAGGCGGGTGGGCCACGCCATGCCAGAGCACCCTCAGAGCGTAACAATCAGTGTCAGAGAACATGAGACTCACCGAAGGCTGATGGTATGCTTTAGGCTGCATATTGGAACTTTAGAGCACTGGTGCTGTACCCAAGGACCCAATGCAAGTAATTTCTATTAATTCAAATACTGCATATTGGGCATCTGCTCTGGGTCAGACAGTATGCTTGGCAGTGAGAATACAGCCATAAGTAAGACCCCAAATCCCTGCCTTCATGGAGCTTATGTTCTCGTGGGGAGAGAGTGCCATGGGCAAAGGTAAAAAGCAGGGCAGGAGGGGCAGGGAGGTTGAGGAGTGGTCGCTGAGAATTTGGTTTTGAACAGGTTGAGTTTGAGATGACAGGTATATGAATAATGAGTGTGGAGTTCATGTGACAGGTCTGGGCTGGAGGTAACAGCGCAGAGGTGGTGCTGAAAACCATGAGCTGGGGTAGGTGGAGAGGAAGTCAGAGGATGGAGCCCCACATTTACAAAGTGGTTAGAGGGGAAGGGAATCAGCAAAGGAGACAGAAGGCAGCCCGTGAAGAAGCAGGGAAGCGGGGAGAAAAAAACTGCCTCTCAGAGGAGGCAGTGATCAGCTGGTCCAGCAGGAAGAGGACTGAGCACTGACCAGTGGATTTAGAGCTTGGAGGTCACCCATGACCTTGCTTAGGGCCCAAGCCTGATTGTAGTGAATATTGTGTAACACCCCCTTTTTCTGTCCGAAGATTAAATACATAGACAATATATAACCTATCTACACACATAATTTTTTTTTAATCAACATAATTCTTTGTGAAGATGAAGGCAGAGATGAGGGTGATGCTTCTCTAAGCCAAGGAGTGCCACCAATGGCCAGTCACCCACCAGAGAGGCTGGGGGAGATCTGGGAACAGATTCTCTCTCCCAGCCCTCAGGGGGAGCCATCCCTGCTAACACCTTGATCTTGGACTTCTGGCCGCCAGGGTTGTGAGACAGTAAATGTCTGTTTAAGCAAAACAGACAAACAGAAGTCAACCTGTTGTACTCACTGAAATACAAAGTAGAAATGAAAGGAAAACAGTTTTTAATAAAATATGTGTATCATGACCTGGACATGTTCCACTAGAAAGAATAATGAAGCAATCACAATCTGGCACCTTTATATGGAGGGATAGTGATGCTAACAGGGACAGCTATGTAGCACGTACTCCAAATACTGTGTAGTACTCAAGGCACTGTGCTGGAGCTTTTTGTGTATTGTCATGTAAATCACCTCCCAGCACAACTAGAAAAGCAGCAGGGTAGGTGTACAGAGTTGACAGCATACACTAGTGGTCTTGCTGTGGTGATGAGATTTCCCAAGTGAACAAAGCAAAGTGCAGTCTTCCCTCAACTTACACAGTGAGTCTGCTCCTGGAAAACTATGTTAGGACACAAGGTGCTTTCTGTTTATATGGGAATCAAAGTGAGGTTCTAGGCTCGGATCATTTTCACCCCTAGGGATGTCCAAGGGGACATGCCTGCATTACATGGGGTGCAGGACAATTCCTGGATGGGCAGGATATCCTGGGCATGTCCCCACCCACTAAATGACTCCGTTATCATGACAACCAAAAATGCCCCCACAGATTTCTATCATGCCTCCTCAAGGGTGGCCTTGTCTCCTCTGAGAACCCCATGTGAGAGGCACGCGGTGTTAGAGTCTCAGAAAGGGAGACCAGCAGGCAGGCTCAAGAGGTGCAGCTTGCTGGGGTGTGATAAGCACAGCTCTTGTACCAGGGCCAGGAACCCTACTGTTCTCCACAGCACCTCATTCATGTTCTGGACGGAGTGCAGAGTGGAGATCCTGGGAGACCCACCCAGTGATGTTGGTAAGAGGGGACCTTTCCACCCAAGAGTCACTGGATAGTGTTTTCCAGCTTTTCTAAATGCAAAATCATGTGTTCAAGCCAAGCTTTACAGGGACCCACAGGATATGAGACAGGAACAGGGGTCATATTTGGCAGCTGAGCCTGGGGCCCAGAGAAGGGGAGGTTCGTGCCCAGCAATGGGCAGTGCCCTGGAGACCTCGTTACCTCCCCACAACATGAGCAGGTACAGCTCCAGGAGAAATGCAAAACTGGGGTGCTTGCCCCAGTGTGGGGTGCCTTGAATACCAACGCAAGGACTTTGGACGTGGGCACCACAGGTGTAGACTGCACAGGAGCACTCTGAGCAGAGGGCCCCAAAAGGCTCATCCCCATGTCTGCCTCTCTTTTTCCCCTCCCCAGGGATAAACTAGCACTGAGCAGGAACATTGAAAAGCTGGAGGGGGAGCTTAGCCAGTGGAAGATCAAGTACGAGGAGCTGAGCAAGACCAAGCAGGAGATGCTCAAGCAAGTGAGTCTTGGAGACTGGGGGGCTGCCTGGAGGAAGCATCATTGTGCTGTTGGATTTCACCATGGGAATGGAAGAAAGAAGGGAATTCATTCATTCCTTGGCAAGCACTGGCCAGTTGCTATTCATGGTTCTGGTGCTGGGACAGGCAATGTCCCTGCCTTCAGGAGCCCCTCTTGTAGGGGTTTTGAGTCCACTCTGGGGACTCAGGGCAAGAGGTCAGGCTGGGTAGCCATTACTGCCTCCTGTGCAGGTTTGGACAGTAGCCAGGCAAATAAAGTCATAAGCTATGAAGCAGTCAGAACTGAGTAAGAGAGATAGATCTCTTAAGTGGTGGTCAGAAAAGGCCTCTCTAAGGTGACATTTGAGGCAAGACCTAAAGGGGTTAGAAGGAGCCATCCTCAAGAAGAGTTGGGGCAGAGTTCCTGGCAGAAGACACAACAAATGCAAAGGTCCTGAGGCCAGAACAAGCCTAGTGTGTGCAGGAAACAGAAGCCAATGTGGCTGGAGGATAGCAAGTAACAGATGAGATTGCAAGGGAAGCTAAATCTCACTGGCCTTTGCTGACCAGGATGAAGGGAAGAGTCTGGATGTAGCATTCATTGGCTGTCTAGTTTGTGAGACCTCATTGAGCCTCATGGCATTCAAGGAGGATGAGTCCTGATATCCCCATCTTATAAATGGGGAAACAGGCTCCAGCTGGCAGAGAGGGGATTCTACCACCTCACTCTGGGGAGTCAGGGCAAGGGGTCAGGCTGGGGAGCTATTACTGCCTCCCCTGCAGGCCCTCTTGGCCACTAGGGGGCGCGGCCACCCAGAGAAAGCTGGATAGTCTGCATTTCCTCCAGAAGGTGGATCACAGACCTCAGAGCCTGAAGCACTGTCCTGGAAGGGAACAAGACTGACCTTAGGGCAGAATCTCTTAGGGAATCTCTGCTAATATAGATTCCCAGATCCCACTCTCACCCTCCTGAATCAACATCTTTGGGGGGGGTTAAATCCAGGAATCTGCGTTTTTAATCTTTTCATATTGTGAAGTATGATCATTTGCAGAAAAGTGAGTAAAACACAAATGTTCTGTTTAGCAGGTAAGATTGTCTTTTATATCTGGCTTCTTTTCACTCAGCATTATGTGCTTAAGGTTCATCAATGTCACTGCACCAAGCGGTAGTTTGTTGGTTTTCCTGCTGTACAACAGGAAAACGGTGCTATGTTAAAGCATGTCAGGCTATTCTGATGTGGCTAACCCCACACCCACATGCAGACCCCTGTTCATATCCCCTGGATGCATCCAGCCAGTGCACACTGAGGGCTACACTGTGCAGAGACCACACAGGGCCCCAGAAGTGGACAGATGAGCGAGTTCCCATTCTAGTGGGGAGTGGGATGGAGAGGATAGGGGCACCCTCTCTGGGCAGAGAGGATAGGAGAGGCCTCCCCAAGGAGGGAGCATTTAGGCCATGGCCTGAGAATGAGAAGTTAGTCCTGCAAAATACCTGGAAAGTGTAATGGGCAAAGGGAACCATGTGTTCATGAATCCTGTAGACCAGAACTTCGTGTGCTTAAGAACTAGAAAGGAGGCTGCCATACCTGGAGGGACTAAGCAAACAGAGATGGGAGATGAGGCTGTGGGGAGATAGATGGGCAGGGGCCCAACCATGCAGGGTTCTTGATACCATAAGGAGGGGTCAGCCTTTATCTTAAGAACTCGGATGAGTATATGATTGGATTTGTTTTTTAAAAGCTCACTCTGAGCTACTGTTGTGGGGAATAGGATGACAGGGGGCCAAGGGCAGACGCTGGGAGGCTAGGTGGGAATGAGGTAGGAGGTGAGATGTTGAAAGTGACAGAAATAGTCAGATTTAGGGTCTGTTCTGGATATCCTGGTGGCCCATTTGGGCTTCACTCAGGCTCCTTGCTGAGCACTCCTGCACCAGCACCCATCCGCCAGAGCTGGTTCTGGGATACTCCCGGGTGGTGCTCACGTAACTAGGCTGTGCTGTATCATGCAGCTCAGCATCCTGAAGGAGGCCCACCAGGACGAGTTGGGCCGCATGTCTGAAGACCTGGAGGACGAGCTGGGTGCACGGTCCAGTATGGACAGGAAGATGGCTGAACTGAGGGGTGAGGTGAGGCCACCGGGAGGGTCTGGGGCTTGGGGTACCAGGGCCCTGTTTCCATCAGCTGGAGGAGGGCAGGAACCAGGCTCTTGCACTAAGTGGGGGGACCAGCCACACCCCAAGGGTACTCCAGTTTGCAGAGAGCAGGCCTCTCCCACACATAGACCAGAAACACCCTCACATCCTGCACGTCGTGAAATAAGCCCAGGTTAATTATAGCCACTGCAGCTGGACCTGCTTCCTGGAGCCAAAAATGGCCATGGGGGAGGGGGGGAGAGGCAGCATCCAACTCAGGCCCTTCCATGCTGTCTCCCTCTGGAGCTCTCATCCTGTCCTGTCCTGCTGCAGATGGAACGGCTGCAGGCAGAGAACGCAGCTGAGTGGGGTCGCCGTGAGCGGCTGGAGACAGAGAAGCTGGGCCTGGAGCGGGAGAACAAGAAGCTCCGGGTGCAGGTTGGGGACCTGGAGGAGGCGCTGGCCCGGAGGCGGAGGCAGACAGCCAGCGCCCTGGACTGCGACCTGCGGGCCAGCCAGGCTGCACTCTTCGAGAAGAACAAGGTGGGGCAACCCCACCTCCCCGTCTTTCCAGGGGACCTGCTGTGTCTGCTCCAGCCCCCAAGGGGACAGGGACCCCAAGTGACAAGGATGGAAGTGTTGGCCGCCCTGGAAGCTGCTGCTCCTGGCTCTGGGCCAGGCTCAGTGATAATCACTGTACCTCCATTTATTGAGCACCTACTGTGGTCCCAGCTCTGTGCCCATGCTTCTGTCTATTATACCACTTAATCCTCTCAACAGCCTTTTTATTTACCCAGCAAGTGTTTATTGAGCACTGACTGCACAGGCTGTGTTCTAGGTGCTGAGGACACAGCAGTGAGCAGACAGGCTGGATGTGACCTCCCCTCGTGGAGCTGATGGCTCAGAAGGTGCACACATTGTCTTCTCCATCAGCACGCACACTGATCCCACACCCATGACTGCTGGTGGGAGGAGGAAGACCAGGGTACCTGACTTAGGGCCAGGGTCCTAGGATGGCTTCCCCAAGTCAGTGACATTTGAGCTGAGGTCTTAAGGAAAAGCAGATGTTAGCTAGTTGTGAAATGATTGGGAAATAACATGAGTAAATGTCCCACAGTGACACAGACATGGAGTTTTGGAGGAACCCTGGAGTCCATTGTGACTGGAGGGGAGTGGGCAAGGGGACATAGTAGGAGGTAAGGCACCAGCTGGGGGCCCCCTTGGAAGAGTAGGAGGTAGGTGTGAGCAGGTGGCAGTCGGAGTACTCACTGGCTGCTGTGTGGAAGGAGGCCACTAGGGAGTCTGTCCCTGTTACCTGGGGCAGCAAGAGATGATGGGGGCTGGAACAGGCTGAGGTTGGTAGAGATGGAACGAAGAGGATGGTGTCAAGACACCCTTGGCCTAGCCCCATCTTCCAAAAGTGAAAACTGAGGCTTGGAGAGACCACAGAGCTCAGAAGTGGGCAACTACTTTCCTGGCTGCTCATCTTCTTCCCAGATTTCTGGCTTCTGATCTCTTTCCCTGACTCCCCAGCTGAGCTTATCCCCAGACCCAGGGCTTTAAATGCCATTTATACACCAAAGACTCCAGACTTCATCCCTCTGCAGAAGACCTGACAGCTCCAGGGGCCTGCTGGACATCATGCCATTTCTATTGGCACCCCAAAGTTACGTGTCCATAGTGGAGGCTCTGAGTCCCCCCACCCAGTGCTCTCCCCTCACTTCCCACCTCACCAGATGGCACCTCTGGCCTCCAGCTGCCCAACCAAACATCTGGTGGTGGTGTTTCAGATGGCAGGTGGAGAGATCTGGAGAGAAGGGGCCCCAGGGCCCCAGAACTGCCTGGCCCCAGGGACCGCCTGGCCTGGCGCCCTCTGACCCTCAGCCCATCCCCCTTGGTGCTCCCCTGCAGGAGCTAGCAGACCTGAAGCATGTGCATGGCAAGCTGAAGAAACAGTTCCAGGAGAAGGTGGCAGAGTTGACGCATGCCAACCGGCGGGTAGAACAGCATGAGGCAGAGGTGAAGAAGCTGCGGCTGCGGGTGGAGGAGCTCAAGAAGGAGCTGGCCCAGGCTGAGGATGAGGTGAGGCCCTGCTGGGGCCCAAAAGGCCACCTTCCAGCCTCAGCTGGGGTAGGAGTGGCCGCTAAGTCCACAGCACCTGGCACATGCCTGACTCTCAGGAGGTGCCCAGTGTAGAGTGGGTGGACAATGGATGAGTGGTAGGTAGGTGTGTGTGTAGTAGAGTAGGAAGAAAAATGGACAGACACACTTATGAGTGGTTGAGCCAATTAATGGGTGGATGAGTCATTGGCTGTGTAGGTGCTTAAATGGACAGAAGAATGACTACATGATGGGTGAACAGACGGATGAGGGAAGAGGTGGACTGATGGATGGGAGGATGGATGGATGGATGGATGAGAGGTAACAACAGATCTGATTGGTGATCGGCTGGACAGATGGGTAGATGGATGATGGATGAGTGTGGATTATGGAAACGTGGATCACTGAGTGAACAGGGGAAAGATGAAAAAATAAGCGCCTGGACCAGTGGGTAGAAGGATGAATGGAGAAAGAGGGAAAGAGGGACAGAAGGGTGGGTAGATGGGAAGATACATGTGTCTGTAGTGTGGAAGGATACATGAACAGGGTGAATGGGCAGCTGATTAACAAATAGTGACTAGGTAGGTGGCTATCTCCATAGGTAAAAGGTATTTCCGTGGATGCATGGGCAGGTGGAAAGATTGACATAGATGGCTCAGTGGGTTGATGGATGGGTCAGTAGCTTGGGGCATTGGAGAATGGGTAAATTTGGAAAGGAAGGACACTAGCAATGGAGAGGGGCAAAAGGGGAGCTTCCCTATAGGAGGGGGGCCTTGGTCTAGGCCTTAAAGGAGCTTCCAGGATTGCTCTGCAGGAAGCACATTCCCACAGAGGAATGGCAGATGGCCTGGCCCAGCCCAAGCTGACCGCCTGCTCCCCCCATGCTTGTGTCCCTGCTCACCCCCAGCTGGACGAGGCCCACAACCAGGCACGCAAGCTGCAGCGGTCGCTGGACGAGCAGACGGAGCAGAGCGAGAACCTGCAAGTGCAGCTGGAACACCTGCAGTCCAGGTGGGCCCTGGTGGGAGGACCAGGTTCCAGGGGGGAGGATTCCAGGCCAGGGCAGAGAGACCTACAGCCGAGGGAAACTTCCCAATCATGTCGGAGCCCCAAACTCTAGCTAGAGGGGAAGACAGAGAAGGAGGAGATCCTGGCACCCTGGGGCCAGAATCCTGTCCCCTCCAGGCAGGAAGGGCCAGGGCCAGGAAGCTGGGGAAGGGAGTGCAGGAAGTGAGACCAGCTGTCGGCTCTGGAATTGTCCCCTGTGGCAGGCAGGTGGGCAGGTGGTAAGAGGGCCAGGAGGGTGGCTAAAGAGGTCGGGTCCAAGGTGGGGCAGCAAGTGGGGCCCAGGGGTCTGGGGAGTCACTGATTAGAACAAGAAGCCCCCAGGTCTCCAGGCTGGGGTGACCCCAGGCCAGCCAGGCTCAGAGGGACTGGAGGGCAGGGAACACAGAGGAGCCCTGACCCTGACGGCAGACAGAACTCCCTCAGCGGCAGACAGGACAGGCCACCTCAGGGTGGGAGGATCGCTCCCAGCACACTCTGCATCCCTCTGCTGTGCTCCTCCCCATCCGGGCACTCTGTGAATCACACGCTCTCCCTGCTTTTACCCAGAGCCATAAGGGGACAAAGACCTTGGGGTCCAAGCCCCTCCCTGCTTCACAAGCCCCCACTGCAGGAGTATCATAATCATGGTGCTGACCGACTTCCTGTGCCAGGCCCTAGCCAGGCCCTTACCTGCCTCCTCTGATTTCACAGAACAGAGGGAGCCTGAGCTGTGGAGCCAGACTGCCTGGGTAGTGGGGCTCTGCATTTAGCAGCTGTGTGGTCTTGGGCCGCTTACTTAACTTGTCTGTGTCAGGGTTTTCTTATCTGTATAACAGAGACAGTAAGAGTTCTTATCTCACGGAGGTTGTGAGAATTGTATGAGCTTATGAAGCCTTATAAAAATCTTCAAGGGCTGAGAAACTGTCAGCTGCTGCCCCTGGGGCAGCAGGTGGGAGGTCGAGGGGGTTGTACCTGGGTCAGATACTGTGGCCCCGGAATCATGCTCCTGTGAGAGAGGGGAAGGGAAATATATCTTTTCTAGGGGGCTGTCAGATGAGGAAACTGAGGCACAGAGCAGAAGTCCTTCCATGGCCACACAACCGGAGGGTGGTCAGGCCAGGTTGCCTCCTGGCCATCTGCCGTCTGAGCCCATTTTGCTGAATGTGTGTTATGTGCTACCGTGTGCCGGGTGCCTGCACCTAAGAGTGTAGGCAGTGGAGCAAGACATGACAGCTGTGTGACATGGCTGACCCAGACTCAGTTTCCCCACCTGCCTGGGATGATACCCATAGAGTTGAACAGGGGCCCAGGTGGGAGTCCAAGTCAGACTCAGTGCCTGACCTGCTCCACCCACTCCATGCCTGCAGCACACACTCCTCAAAAGGGTGCCCTGCCCTGGAGCTTTCCTGCAGTCTGGGCCACATTCTTTGGGAACCATGAACTCCCAAAAAACCATGAACTCTGCTCAGCCTCTCAAGTGCTTCCAGTGGGGAGGGCAGGGCCGCCAGGACCGCTGCCTCATTTTATTTTCCAACTTTTTGTGCTTTAATGTTCCGGGGACAGCTCACTAAATCACAGCACAGTAATGGAGGCCCCGTCTGTGCCCCTCCCCGCCCTGTTAATAATTCATGCCTTCCAGTAAGATGCAGCCAGCAGCCACTCTGCAGGGGGATGGGCATTTCCTCTACCTGCTCTTCTTAGAGGCCAAGTTTACCTCGTAAATTTTGGCCTTAGGAATTTTAATGTGGGGAAGAACTAGGGCAGAGTGCTTTCACACTGACCCTGGGGGCAGAGGGAACTCAGATCCACCCACCCCAAGCTCTCTGTCAAGGGTCTTAGGAGCCTGGCTTGGGTTCGAATGCTGGCAGCATGACTTTAAGCAGCTGCCTCTCATCTTCAGGGGCCCCCTGCCCACTCCAGAGCCAGCACCCCACTCAGGGCCCAGCCCCACTCCCTGCTGCCTATGAGATTTCAGGCAAATTATACAACTGCTTTGTGCCTTGGTCTCCTTGTCTGTAAAGTGGGGGTGACAGTACCACCTCCTCATTTTCAGGGCCTTCTGGAAGGAGGATGTGAGATGAGGTAATGTGTGTAAAAGGCACCTGGCACGGGGTAGGCTTAGCTGCTGTCAGCACCAGCTGAGGAGGCTCCCGCTCTGCCCCCCTGTCATGGCACCCACAGGCTCCGCAGGCAACAGCAGAATGTCCCCCTCTTCGGGAAGATCCGCAGTGCTCGCTTTGGCACCGAGGAGGCTGGAGACGGAGCCAGCGACCTGGATGAGGATGAGGACCTGCAGATCCAGGTGGCCTAGAGCTCCCAGGGCTGGGCAGGACTGGCCTGCAGCCACAGGCCCACAGGCGCTGGACTGGTGCAGCTGCCCGTGCTCACTCTGGGAGCAGACTCCGCTCCCTGCCGCAATGACTTCCTTCTCTCCCAGGGTGCGTGTCAGTGGTCCCACCCTGCTGATACCCCATGAAAGGGAAACTGTGGCCTATGTTTTATATGTATATTTTATATATATATATATATATGCATTGGTCCTTGGACCCATATAAACACAGGACCACTCTAAGGCCCAGTCTCGGCACCCCTCCCTACCCGGGACCTTCATGCAGAGAGCAGTGGATGTCAAGGGAGAGCTGTTGGGGCCCCAGCCCAGGCTGCCTTGGGGAGGACCTGTTCATAGTGCATTGTGATAAACCCGGTCTTTTGTAATAAATGGAGCTCGGGTTTCAGGGCAGAGGCCTGAGAGTGTCGCAGATCTGGGCAGGCTGTGTGGGGACATCACCAGCCTGTACCTGGCACCAAACCTGAGCTCAGGACTGTGAAGTGACTTAATAAATGATTGTGAGAAAGAAGGAATGAGTGATCATCTGAGGTGATCCAGCCCTACTGAGGGGGGAAGGAGAAGGCATGGTGCATGTCTAATCTGGAGAAGAGGAGACTTCAATTCTGCTACCAAATGGATTCAAATCTGCTCCTTATTGCTTGTGCATCCTTGGGGAAGTTACCCTCTCTGAGCCTCAGTTTCTCCATCTATAAATTAGCCATCTCTTAGAGCCATCAATGAGAATTAGATGAGTCTATCTGGAGTTCCATAAAGGTTAGTTATTATTGAATACTTGAAGGTATGCCCTGAAGAGGAGGATCTGCCTGCTGAGTTCTGCAAGCAATGAAGTTCAGGCGAGTGGTAGTTTATCCAGAGGTAGGTATAAACACAATAAATAATAAATACTTTATCTTCCCCCTAACCCTGCTCTAGGTAGTGAAATTACAGGTAATTTTAACTTTGTTTTTGATATTTAATTTCTAATCCTTCTGTAACCAACAGATTTCTTCAATCTGGTAGAAACAGTTATTAAAAACACAGTAGCATAATTTTTGAGTCTTTGCAAACTGAGGTCACCTTTGAGCCACCTGCCCTTGATGAGATGCCTTAGATGAATTCTCAGGACCAGGGGACCAGGGCCTGCTTTCTGTTAGAATGCATAAGGTGGTGAATTTCCTGTGTTCAGAGGTGTGCAAGGAGCAGCTGGGACTCTGAACAGGAGCCTAGCACCAAAGAGAATGAAATTCACTTGATAAAGGGGCTCCCTGCTGAGGGTGGGGAGCTGCACTCACTCACTTCCTCTCTTGTGGCCCAGTCTGAGGGACCACTGAGGCTGCAGTGCTGAGCCCTAGGGGCTGAGACTTGGGTAGAGGCAGGCCCAGGAGCCCAACTAGGGGTAATAAATACAGGCACTAACAGTTCCCCTATTGCCACATGACGGTGTGGTGAGATGCTGCTGAGGGGGGTTTTGCTGTCATGGCAGAGAGGCCCCAAGTCCCCTCCTGGGCTCCCCAGGGGATGAAGTGGGGCAGGTGAGATCCAGCCAGAAGGATCCTCCATGGGTCTTTCCCAGCAAGCCAGGGCCAGCGGAAAAAGGGCTACCGGAAAAGGACTATTTCCTGCCAGAAGTCCTTCTGTTTTTTCTCCCAAACAGGAAGTTGGCCCCAGAAGAGGCTGAAAGAGTTGCCCTTTGACCCCCCAGGAGCCTGGAGCCAGGCCCTCACTGACAACAGTCCTGAGAGCCACTTCCCCAGGCCCCCAGGCAGACCTGCCATTCCCAGACACAGAGCAGACCCACCAGCACGGCGGGTTCCCCCAGACTCCCTGGCACCTCTGGTGAGATAGTGTTTAGCAGGGCCCCATTACAGCCCCTGTCTCTGGGTGGGACAGCTCCAGAGAATGTCAGCAAGGGAGGGCCTGGCTTCCCACCTCCAACTCCAAGGGAAAACGGAAGCCTTGGGAGGGGAGCCACAGCCACAGACATGGGGCTGGAAGATTCTCTGGGCCTGGGAATGCACCCTACCTCCCTGCTCACAGCCCTTGCGAACCTGCCATTCCGGTGGTCATGGTGGCAGCATCTGCCAACAGAAGCATCAGCTTTGGCTCACATGACACTCTCAAAACTATTTAACACATTGTTAGGAATGGGAAGTTTTATCATAAAAGTGTGGGTTTCCTTCTCTTGAGAAATCAGCGCCTCGGACCATGCTGGGTTCACACTTCCATGTGGCTACAGCTGCTGGGCTGAGAGGCAGGCTCCCTGTAATGGGCCATGGTCCGCACCACTCCCTGCAGCGTTACCCTGCATCCATCTCATTTACATTACTGCCTGGCCCCTGGAGGTCTCTGAGTGGTTTTCCTCCAGCCTAGTCCAGTCTCTCCTTGAATGGATGAGAAACTGAGTGAATGGTAGGGGAAGCGCTTGCCTTAAGTCAGTGTGACATGCAGTCAGGCCAAGTACACATATCACTCACAGACTCAGAGCTCCTACAAGCTCCTTGTCACCACGGGGTGACTGCCAAGAACAGTTAACATGTGCTTCACAACCCTTTGAGGCAGACAGTCCCATCATCATCCCACTTACCAGCAAGGTTGCAGAGGCTCAGAGGGAACAAGTAACTGTCCTGAGGCCACGTGGCTGGTTAGTGGTGTTGCTAGCTAGCATTCCAGGTCAGGCAGTCTGAGACTGAGCCTGTGCTTCTCATTATGCACACCCACCCCCTCCACTTCATAGACCCTGCAAGTCCTGCCATGCCGAACTACCTGCCACCCAGAATTGCCCCTCCCCCACCACAGCCCCACCAGCCCTTCAGAGCTCAACCTACTTGGTTCATAAGAGTGTTAGTGGGCTGTGTGTTTGTCTGCTTCTCCTGCCCACCAGATGCTCCTGGAAAGCAGAAAATCCTTCTAGCAGCCAGCACAGTGGCCTGGGCCTACTGGCATTTTTAAAAGAGGGAAGGATGCGGAGGGAGGAGAGCCTGGGTGGGGGTTTCTGGGTGGATGGACAGATGGATGCATGGATGGTATGGTAGAAGGCTGATGCCAGAACCACCCCTCAAACTACAGCCCCACTGCAGTATGTGCAGGACCAGTCATAGACAGGTCTCTGCTGGTCAGCTAAGAAGTCTCTCACGGCAGCTGGTCAGATGCCAAAAGCCACAGCAGCCCAGGGCAGCAGTGCCAGGGCTGGAGAACCAGCCGGGCCAGAAAGCCCCACCCAGCCTCTCCTCCCCCTGCAGCGTGAGGCCAGAAATCTGTCCTCTGAAGGTTTGGCACACCCTCGCTCTCCAGCCAAGGTGTTTTGCCCAGCCTGACTCTTACCAGGCAGCGGCGCCTAGGGGTCTCTGCTTTGAAATCCATGTCCAGCAGTGAGCCCTACATGCCTGTCCTCCAGACAAGCCTGGGGTCTAACCCCAGCTGCTTTATGATTGGCTGTGTGTCTCTTGGCAAGCTCCTGCCCCTCTCTGGGCTTTCGCTTCCCAATCTGTAAAATGACAATGGCAACTGGGTTGTCCAAACCCCAATTCAATAACACGATTTTACCATTAGTAGTATTTTTCTGTCTTTCCATATGCTCTGCATCCCCTCCTAAGACCCCAATTCCCTGATTGCCTGGGAGTTCACCAGCCACCCTGGGCACCCCTCTGGGGCAGTGGGAGGCAGAGACATCACCCAGGAACCAGCTGCAGCAATCAGCACCACCCCCCAACACCACCATCCAGCTCCTCTGCCTACTAATCGCAGGGTTGCAAGATGCCAGCTGCCTCCCAGGCCCCGGGCAGATGCCTCCCAGGCCCCGGTGCCTCCCAATGGAGCTCCCTGGAAAGCCTCCCAGTCCTTCCCCAGCCCCATATACCCAGCTGTACTGGAGGTGGTCTCCATGGTGCTCAGACTCCTCCAGCGCCTGGGAGCAGGCCTGAAAAAGTATAAACAAAGCCTTCCTCTGTGGCTTTCCCACTTCCCAGGCTTCCCCCACGTCAGAGAGGAGCATCCTGGCCCCCACCTCCCCCACTCAAGAACTAGCCATGGCTCCCCACTGCTGGCCAAATAAAGTCTCACTCCACATCCTGGCTTGGGGTGCTCAAGACACCCTTAAGCACATTCCCCAAGTGGCCTTGGTCTCGGGTCTCCACTGTTCTGGGATCAAGTCCAGATGGGCCCCTTGCTGTGCCCTCTCTCCCTTCCCCAGTGGTCTCCCCAGCATTGTCTGTGTACCTGCCCTCAGCTGAAACACTGGGCGGACTGGATGACAGCTCCATGGTGACTGGGACGTGCTTCATCTGCACGCACTGGGCTTGGAGCTCTGAGGGCAGAAGTTCTGCTGTGGAAGCTGGATCTCCACAGGACCTCAGGCAGAGTGTCATTCAGAGCACACGCTCCTCCACAGTGTCATTTAATCTTAATCCTCACAATGATGCAGGAGATGGACAATGGCAAGATGAGGAAACCGAGGCCCACAGTGGGAAGGACCGGCCAATAAACAACAGGGCTGGAACTCAAATCCAGGCAACTCCTAAGGCCAGGCATTCTCAGCTACAGCTCTCAGCCCAGGTCTGTGCTTCAGTGCAGGTGCTTGGCGCCCAGTAAAATGTTCATGGAAGGGAAGGAGGGAGGGAAGAGTGAGCTGCAGATGGAGCAAACCACTCAGAACAGGCCTTCTTCCCCTCAAATCACTGCACAAGGCTCTCTGTCATCCAGCACCCCACTTTCTCCACTAGCAGGCAGGCTGGAGTTGGAAACCTCACTAACCTGGATAAGTAATCCTGAGGTCCAGAGAGCAAAGTGGCTTGTCCAAGGGCACCCATCAGCTGTGTCCTGGGAATTCCTGGATCCTTTTAATACGGTCATAATTCTTCATTCTTTGACTTCTATTATAATAACTCAGAGAGAGAGCGGCCAAGTAGATGTAAATGCACCTACACCCCCAACTAAGTTCCACTTCCCTAAGTCTCAGTTTCCACATATGTAACATGGGGTGCTATGGGGATTAGAAAGGACATTTCTCAAGCTCCCAACATTGGGTTCAACACCAAAAGTGGTGTCATTTGTCCACTTTTGTCCAAGGACACCAGTCGTGTCTATGTGGGAGACCAGTTGTTCATGCAAGAAAAGTGCACACACCCACTCCGGAGTGGGGACCTTTGTCCAGGATCTGTCTCTGCCTGCACACACCACACCACCCAGCCACACTCAGCTGTCCCTGCCCTCAGTCCAATCTCTGAAACCTCCACCTGATTGCCCACCAAATTTGCCAGGTATCTTAATTCCAGGATGGAGTGGGATTTAGGAAGAAGCACTGAGAGAGCAAAGGCACCTTTGTTCTGGACCACCCCCTCCATCTCTCTCCCAACTTATCTGCCCCATGGGTTGATAAACTAGAATTAGGTATGTAACAAAATCCCTTGGGAATTTGGCTGGTGGGGATCCCTTATCAGAGTTTATCTGATTGCTCAGTCCCCAAGGGGTGAACTTAGGAAGCTGCCAAGCTCAGGGGATAGGATCAGAACATGCCAGGCTGTCTGCCTCTGC